GCTGGGACCTCGGTTTAACTTCTCATTCTTTGCCATCAGTATATGCCCAGTGATCCCACTCAGATCCATTGGGAGCAAAGCCAGTGAGCTTATGTTACAAGCATTGTAACGGGTTTGAAGGATGGCTGCTGATAGGGTATTACAGATACGAATAGGTATGTTGCTGCTGCTAGTATTTTTTTTCTCTGTGGACGGATTAATGGATAGCAGGGAATCAGAACAGGCCTGCAATCTAATTATCGTTTAGCTAATGCCATAAACTGTTAAAACCGAATCTCATTTGGGATTGGAGCTTTGAAATGAGTTACAGATTATTGCCTTAAATAATAAATGATGCAGGTTTATTCTTTAAGATTGTGGGTCTCTCGCTTTCACCATGTCCCTGTCTGTAAATTACAACAGGTAAGGAAACAGGTATATATTTTGTAACGTCGATCAGCAGCTTTGTTTTTTTCTGTGAGCTTCGCTTGTTGGTGCAGAAGAACTACAGTCCATTGCTGTTACAACAATAAGAGGGCTGCCAGAAGCTAAGGCCATTACTTTCAATCAATCTTTTTTTTTAGGTATTGATTTTTTTGTGTGGCAAACTGACACTTGAGAGGAGGGCAGTATGATAAGAGGGAATTAATGGTGTTGAAGGCATCATCATTACAGTCTTATAGAGAAACAATTGCACATGATCACAGGAAAATTATACATTATAATCGCATCATTATTAGCAACGACAGAGCCAGCTGAAAAAAGACAATCCCTACAAATCTCATTCCTATTTCTCCGAATGTAAAATCACATTTCTTCTTAAATTTGTCCTCTGGCATTTGATTAAGATTACTATTACATTTATGTGAGAAATTAAATAAAAATTATAAAGATGAAGCAGCTCTACTATATCATGGGGTTGAGGATGGGCTGATCAATTCAAGGACAAAGTTGCATTTGAAGTACAGTATTCCCAGTTGCCTGGTACAGAACAGAAAAAGACGATAAACTATTTGGGCTACCTTTTGAGTGGGCAGTAATTGCACCTGACCTTAGAATAGCTCGATGTGAACGTTTCAGAGTGCGCAGAATTTGGCAAATTGTCAAATTCATTTTTAGCTCGCAAGCCCGTTTTCTGTAGTTCTTAGAAGGACTTACAAAAAAAAAAGCTGGCTTCAGAAATTAAAGACTGGTATTTAAGAATTTGACCATTTCTGTACGATCTAAATAATTAGAGTGAATCTAGACTCAGGTGCAATTTCTAGCCCGAAGTGTTTGGGGAAAGCTCTCTCTGTAATATTGCTCCTTTGTGGTCAGGACTGTTTTTTTTCCATCCTTCAGAAGGGGGTAATACGAATCCTCTTCCGCTACACAGAATCCACAGGATGTGGGGGGTCACTTTATGAAATAATAAGGCCTACTTGTCAACATTGTCACATGATTTTGCTTTACACACTGTCTGTCTCTTTGTTCCAGAGAAGCCAATTGGAATTGTAAGGTATACCACTGGCACTGTCTGTGCTCCTGCTCTGCTCTAGGGATCTGTAACTGTAGCATATGTGATATCCATCTTGAGTTTCAGACAGTCAAAATACACCATCTCTGCAGGTACGATTGGCCTATAAAGACAGGTGAGTTATTTTAATTAAATTGCCCCTTTTATGACTGATTCCACAGTACTGGGAATGAAAGCTGGTAGCAAACTAGACATCTGCTGAGCAGAATCACCAGCTGATCATGCAGATGGTCTGATGCCTCTGCTTGGTCATGTTCCTGGCATAAAGTACACCTGTCTGAGAGGGACATTCATGATTTAGCCAATTTGAAGACACTAATAGAGGCTGAGGGGATATATCACTGAATCAGCTTCAAATTATTAATGTTGTACAACCAACTCTTAAATAATATTGCCAAACCTGCTGCTTGTCGGAGTTTAGCTTGCATATGATTTGCTTTATTTATTGCATTTGGCCATGATATTTAAGTAGCCAGAAGAGGACAAGGGAGCTGTTCATCCTATAATCATATTTTTCTGAGCGACACACATCCCCAGTGTTGTGCATACGGATCAGTAGCAATAAGAGTAACAGAAATAGAAAACTTCCAAGGAAACAAATAGTTCCTCACAAAAAACAGCACAAAAGTAACTCCAAATTTCCAGGCTTTGAAACGTCCCAACGACACTGGTTCTGTGAAACAGAACCTTTTCACTAGGCTCTTTGTGAAATGTAGGGATTATTATTACTATCGTGATTAATAGTCTTAACTTTACTAGGTCTTCGGAAGGCTACAAGATGAAGCGGCATTGTGAATTCATTGTTCCAGCTCAGCTTACCGACCGATACAAAAATAAACCCACATCACTTAATAATAATAATAATAATAATAATAATAATAATCCTTGCATTTGATATAGCGCTTTTCACGTCGGGAGGACGTCCCAAAGCGCTTCACAGAACACACTGTAAAGTGAATTGACTGTATATTTGTGGGCGAACGCGGCAGCCAATTGCGCACAGCAATGTCCCACAAACAGTCATGGGTTGAAAATGACCAATTTATTATTGTTTTTGGTTTTGGAGGGATTATTATTAGGCGTGTGGAGTAAGGAAACTTGCCCAAGGTTTCGCCCTGCCTGGAATTGAACTCAGGTCTCTCGCTTGCAAAGCGAGTGCTCAACCACTGAGCTACAGGACTCCAAAAGGGACATCTCTCAGATGGCTCTCTCAGATCAGTTGTAGCTCCCACAGCAGCATGTGGGAGTATCTCCACTGAATAGTACTTTCTCCTCATCTGCACGAGCACAGATTTCACATTTACTGGGGGGGGTTTTACACAAAAAATATGTGCAGACAGTCAGTGGATTAAAAAAGAACCACACCAGGCCAAAGAACACCAAAGAAATGAACGATTCCAGAGACTGTGCGAAAGAAATTGATATACTACATACTTGTAAACTGTTGAGCTCCTTTGAGCCTTCAGGTGAAAATTACTTTGCTTGCCTCGGGCTGGTCATCAGATGGAAATTTTCCACCTCTGTGACTGTTCTTTTTTTAAAAAAAGCACACACATTTCACAGCCCAGACTGATATCTTGAATGGATGGAAAGGTCACCAGATAAAGCACCTTGGTCACATACAGTTCAAACAACAACAAAAGATTGCAGCTGCTGGAAAATCTACAGCAACAGTGGTGTTCCTGAGAAATGAGATGAACACTTCCAGTAGCATCCTTCATCTTTCTCGTTCTGGTATTGACGGACCATCATTCGCTGTTTTAAATTCAGCTTCTTATAATGGCTGTTTGCCGGATCATCTGATTGAAAGCCACACATTCGTTGATGTCCCTTTTATTTAAGTGGTAAATAAAATATGACCAATGCAAATGAACGGGACAAATCGGTTTTAACCCCAAAAATGATGCTAATTATGCAACATCTGGTTGATATCCCTGCACACGTCCTACCTTATCGACCAGCAAGCATCACAGCAACTTTTCCAATGCAGATGTGCTTGTGCAATTGAAGCTTTGGTATTCCACTCAGTGTCTCAGGAGTGTCCATTGCTCTTGTAGTGGGTGAAATTCCTCAACGCACATTGTCCGCATTGCTACCCTGAACAACATGCATAATAAGACACATTCGTGGGCTGTTGCCAGTTAGCCATTTGGATTTTTTTTAGTGGGTATTAACTAATTAACTAATTAACTAACTATTTATTTATTATTTATTTATTTATATCTTAGGTATTTAGAATTAGCTCAAGGTCTTCTGGTGCACCGTAAAATGTGCTGGACCATTCACCCTATTAAGAATTATATTGGTGAGGAAAATCCAATTACTGCAGGCTGACCCAAAACTAATTTGTAGCGAGACCTGTACACTCGTTGATGTGATCCTATGTTAATCATTGCTGCTGTTTGCACCTTACATTAACCAGTAAATAAGTAATGGCGTAATGGATTGCTACATTTTGCTAACCAATTTGCGCATTAATACTGTAGCAAGACTTGATGGTGGAGGAGAATCTGAATCGGCACATGGATTTCAGATACGTTCTGAATTCCATGTCTTGAAATCCAATATTCAGATTTGGATTCCTCAACCTTGCAAATCTGCATTACGAGGCAGGTTTGGGTGCCAAAACTTACCACACCTGTGATGCCACTTGGATGAAATAAACAATGTTGTCATTTGAAAGTACCCAATGCAGTAACTTTCCTTTTTAAGGTATGCTAAATATGGTTTATTTACATCTGTTGTGAAGTTAGTTACAATAGATTATCAGTTGGAAATGAGGTGTGGGGACCAACAGTTATGTTAGAATTACATAGACTGTAGACTGATTCAGCACAGAAACAGGTCATTCATCTTAATCGGTCTATGAGATAAGTGTAAATATATATCTACCAATAAATATTTATTTGATAAAAAATGCTGGTATTTGTACTCCACATTACTCCTCTACTCTTTCTATTGCCAGCTCCTATGTCCCTTTGTTCCTTTCTCCTTAATGTGCACATCGAGAAGACTTGAAAACCGCTATATAAAATGCAAGGATTATGATTATTATTTTCAATCCATGGTATAACATCATCCCACTGTGACATTGTGTTGGAAAAGCTCTTCTAATACAATTTGTTTTGTTTGAGAGGTATCCAGATCCATGTGATAACCCTTAAAGAGGGGAGGAATATAAAGGTATAGTATTTTTTTACAGAGATGGGGCACAGCAAGAAAAAAAGATTGCTTCCATAGTATATCTCAAAATCGTGTCCACCAGCTGAAAATATCTTCACTACAGGAATGATCTCTTCCTTGGCTAAAAGGATTCTGTTTTCCATGCAAAGGAATGAAAGTTGATCATGTAAATATTTGACAATACTACAGTAACGGCCAACCTATCTGCTGGAAACTTAAAAATGTCACATACCTATCTAGATAATGGCCTACAGTAGATATTTGTGAATTCAAGTGTATGGATTTCAGCTATTTGCTTTAAAAACAGAATTTTGTATAAAAGTATAGATAGAGCTTTTTATTAACACTTTTGGCAGCAACGAAAGTGACACAGTCCACATCTTTCCAAAGTACACAGCATGGCATGACCACATTTCACATCACTTTGAGGCACAAAGCAAGGGTATGACCTTCAGGTCAAATAATTTTCTCCATTAGTGATAGAAGCCATTCTTGACTTGTATACTGGGACAACAGACACTAAAACAGTCTCCACCCATAGTACAGGTATAGCCAACACATAACAACCCCCTTCCATACACCACCTGAGATGCACAGTATAGCAACAAATGTTTGACATGTTTTGGGAACTGCAGTCATCTGTGGACCATAATTCCAATCCAACGTGTGGTTTTCTCTCAAGCCAGTTTGTGGTGATGCTGAATTCAGCATTGTTACCTACGACCAAAAGCATCTACATCAAACTACATTAGTGGAACACATATAAGAGTACGGGACAATGCAGTCTACTACGTGGATTTATTGCTTTGTACACAAATGCTGCAGTCCTTGCTGAATCCAATAACTAGGAAGGAAATGTTTTTTTCCAGTAAGGAATGATGCTATTCCAAAAGATGATAAGGCATGCCACCTTTGGTTTCTACTGGGGATTGTTACTCAAAACTCCTTTGCTGTTTGCAGTCAAATGATTTGATGAAAATCCTAACTCTGGGATTACGTGAATATCTACTCAGTACTTTAAGGTAAGTTAACAATTTTGCACAGGTTTGGTTTGTGCAATTGATGAATAACTTCTAAGATGTTAGCAGCATTAAATGTTTTTCTTTTTTTAAAAAAGCTATTTACTGATCTAGAATATTCATAGTTCACATGAAATTATTAATATAAGTGCTCTACAGCAAAACCTTGTTGCAAACGTTTTATTGCAATACTTAGGTTTGCAATATCTAAACTGTTTGTTTGGTTTTGGTGGAAAATTGAAGATTGTATGTATCTAAGATGGAATTACAAGGTAGACACCAGCATGCAATTTAACTATAAAGTGAGTAAAATGCCTAACCATTTTCTAGTTTTGGAACTTTATAGTTGAAAGTATTTTACTAAGAATATATAGCATGGGTTTGTGTCAGATAGTGAGGATTTCCTTGTTTCCAATCAATTACAGGTACCTTTGCGTCCCTGGTGTCTGAACGTTCTATATCATATGCATAAAACTTTGGCTGAGATCTACTAAAGTTCTTTTTAAAAAATTATTATAACATCTGACACCAAATCAAACCAAAACTAACGCTTACTTCAAGTAATTATTACGTAAGGATTTATCTTCTATTTGATTGACTGACCAGTCCCCTCTCCAAGGTATTCAATTGTCCTGCTTCCCAACAACCAACCAGTCAATCTGACCTGTATTTTTTTCCCCACCAGCACCTCTCACTAACGTTTCCACTGGTCAGCCAGCAAAGCTCAAAAGCCTTCATCTTTCTGAAATGGCAAAGCTTGAATTGAGATGAGACACACCACCATTTTGTACAGATTGCACTCGAACGCTGCATGGTTAATTTTTTGTACATTTTAACACCTTGCCATTCTGATATGTGTGGACACTTACACCACAAATTTCTGTGCAAACAATCACAATGAGTCTGGACACAAACACTACAAAATATCTAATAGACTTTTTTTTTCTGTTATGAATAGTCCCCTTCTTCATGTTCTTTATAGTGGTAAGAATCTTTAACTTCTTCCTGCACAAACTCTTCCCTCTTCTCCCATCCAGTGGGCCAGCCACCATTGCTATAAGTGGTGGCCCCGTAAGACTTTGCAGTGCCTTGGGTGCCATAATTCTGAGTAATGTCCTCAGTTTCTTCTGCCAGTTCATCTTCATGTATAAAACCACACTTTTCGTCACTCGTTTGTTCAGGGTCTGCCCATGGCTGCTTTTCACCGGATGCAAATAATCCATAAAATATGACTCCTGCATAGTGGACCAGGGAAGCAATCAGGAACACATACTGCCACTCCTCACGGCTCTGCGAAACAAAGATAGTGACAGAAGAAATGAAAGAAAGTGAAGTTAAATGTATCTCTTTGACGACAATTGGCCTTCGTAATCCATGCAGGCCAATTTAACTGATGTTTTGTAGCTAACCATCTTAATGCTGAGTTGGGAAGGTCTTTATTTAAAATTGTCAGTTTTCATACAAATGATACTGTCTGTACTCAAACAGTGCATTAATTGTATTTAGTTTCCAGCGAGAATAATCATCTCTGTGTGTTACTTGAGTGCTATTCTCCAGCTTATTTGTAAATGCTGATACTATCATAACTTAAACATTTCAGTTTTGTGTAACAGACATCATCTTGCATTTATTTATATTAATGAACAATTGCAGTACTTTGTAAACATTTTTGTATACTAGATTTTCAAAATTGGGTTGAACTAAAGTATTTCAATGTTTCATTCAACAGAATAGGTAATATCCTGCGTGTTTAGCTCATTTTATAACTACTCTTTTCCTTCAATTTTTCTCCGCCGGCCGGTTGTCTGAAGACTGTACTGAAGTGTGGTTCTGGGGGCTCCTGTGGTACCTTATCCAAGTGGACATTCTTTATGTGAAGTCTGTCAACTGAGTATCAATTCTGAGCAACATGAACATTTCATCCTGTCATCCCTAATGTCTACACAGTTGTTTCCAGTAGTTGTTTGCTAGATAATCATTATAAAAATCTTTTTGAGATGAAGCACAAAACAATAGTAAACAACGCAATTGCCATTTCACAGCAATATGACAAATATTTAAGATTCATAGCGTTCCCCAGCTATTGCTCTGAGCATATCTATGTACCTTGTGTTTGGTCATTGCTCCAACGATCAATGGGCAAACCATTCCGGATAGTGTTCCCACACCATTGGAAATTCCCATGAGAATACTGGCATATCTTGGTGCTATATCCAAATGGTTCACATTAAATCCTAAAGTGAGAACAAAAGCAGATTAAGAAAACTATAGTATTCAGACCAAATAAACTGTGACAGCTCAGGCACTGAATACATTTTCAATTCAGTGCACTGTTATCAAACAAGTCCACTATCTCACAAAGAGAAAAACTTGAGCAGATAATATTTCCTGTGATGAGAATTTCAGTCATTTCGCACAACCATAACGCATTTTATGCAGATATAATGATGCATCAATCAAATAGAACACATTTATTGCTGGTACAGTTAGTGTCAGAATAAAAAAAATATAACTCCAACATACAATTAAATTAAAGGATTTGGAGTCAAAATAAAAGAAAAGGACATCTCAGTATGCCAATTTCAAGAGTCCTAAAAGTGAAATGATAGCCTCAATTTCGTTCCCACATTTTGTCCAATTTATAGAGTCAAAAAATATTTTTGGATCATTTCCAGTAGTAAACCAAATAGAAGCACGAAACTATATTTATATGTTGGACCTCATAGACCCCTTAACTTTGCAATCAATCATATTTGATTGACAACTTTTAGTGGAGTTTGCTCATTAAACACATCGACCATGAATAGATTTCAGGTCATGTACAGCCTTCAGTAATATGCACAAGAAAATTATTTTCTTGTCAATATGTCATTAATAATTCAATCAACCACTCAAAAGCCTTAACTAATGCAAAAGCATAATTCACCAATTAAGGTCCTCTGTACACAAAGTACTATATTGATATGTTGCTGCATTAAACCTTTTTAAAAAGGCACACTGAGAAATATTTTTGTAAGTAGAGGCACAAAAAGGCAATTTCTGGTTTCTGTTTCAATTAACTGTATTGATCTATTAAAATGTAGAAAATTATAGAATAATCTGTGAAAGACAAAAGTATTTCATTTGTTTAAGATATTGAAAATGAGGTGCGTTCTTAGCAACGCCACATTGAGATAATTTGCAAACTGTATTCTCCTTGATATATTGCAGCAAATTTATGAAAGCAAAATCTTACCTGATATAGCAAATCCACTAAAGCCAACAGCCAGAACGAGAAATGAAATGGCAACGCCTTTGCTATGTGAGTAGCCCACTACAAGGAGAAAGGTTGCTTCCATACCAAAGCCTTGAAGGCAAAGAAATACAGTTGGATACATTATCCTTCAATTGAATGATTAATAGCAATGGCTTTGCACCATGTGTGTAATTATATATTCAATAATGAGGCATCCAAATAAAGTTATTAACTATGACTGTACAACTCAAATTCATTTTACTATTACAACACCACTATCTAAACACAAAGGCAGTGGTAATTAGTAACACTGCAGTATTGCAGCATGCTTGGAGGACCATAGAGAAAATCTATGTCTTGGTCTTAACAATGATTGTCGCATGCAAAGAATTTTTGTAATGTTAATAATAAACATACCGCCGCAGTTCATAATCTTTCTGACATTCGTGGTGGACAGTATCCTCTTAGCTCTGAGGAAGTCTGCAATCTGGCCACCAATCGGCACTATAATTGTCATGACAAGATGGGGCAAAGCTGATACCATTCCCACCTATAATAATAATTAATAATGTATTCAACGATAATAATACGCAACAGATAAGGGTGACAGCAAACATGACTATACAGAAATATTTTGAGTCGGAAGCACTACAACAACAACAACTTGCATTTATATAGCGCTTCTCACATAGGGTAGCGTTCTAGAGCACTAAATAAATTAATCCAGAGAGATAGCTCCAACAGGCTAACAAGGCAACACAGGGAAAACATTCTGGCTACCTGACTGCTCCATCTCTAGTATATACAGCAGAATCAATCAACTAACAGGAATTGGTGAAACGTGCGATTTATCTTTTTATGAACATTGATACTTTGGAATTGAAAGCTACTTAAGCTCTGTGAATACAAATACCTTGCTGATTTCAAATCCAAACACCTCTTCGAAATAGGCAGGTTGACTAATGAGCAGCAAGTAGAAAGTCCAGCTTCTACAGAAATTTGCCACAATTATTGCATAGACTGGCATAGAGGTAAAGAATTTTCTCCATGGTGTCTTAAATTTCTATAAAAAAAAGATAAAACAGAACTGGGTTTATTGTAATTATTATTACCCATGTTATATTTCAACCAATTTCCTTGAACCAAATCCATACACAATCAATATTTGCTCATTTCAAAATAGACTGATCACAATTATTGCACCAAAACTGAAATCCACAGGATAAATTGTTTTGCCCTCCTATAAAAAAATATATTTATTGAGCGCAGGTTAATTTATTAATATTTTAGCCAGTCAATATTTCAAAATCAAGTGTTAGAGACATGCTGGTTAGTAGTTTGTCAAAGTACCATTCATTCACTAGATTGACCTGCTTTACAAGATACTTTGTAGTTTCACCTTTAACAGGAAAATGATAGTAAAAGGTGAGAGAGATTCTGGCCTACTTTTTTTATTATTATACACTTGCATTTCATTATGAGATCCTAAATAGCTCAGTTTTGATGAAATTATGTTTTTACAAAAACATATTTTCACCAATAACTTTTGATTATTCTATTGCGATGCTTCAACTTTCACCTATTTTCCACATTATCATTTCTTATCAAACAAATAAACTGTTAAATGTGAAAGCTGTTCTCATTGTTATTGGAGTTTTTTTTAAAAAAATCAGAATAGGTCCCAGTTGTTCTGAAGGTGCTGATATTTTAAGGTTTCATTTGAGGTTCAAGGCAATTAGTACGAGTAAGAGATCAATGCTCATTTTGCTCTTTAAAACAGAGGGCAAAATCGACATGTTAAGTTTGCATTATGTCTTATTACTAGATTAGATCAGTAACACAGCACAATTAAATAATATTAATCTAAATAATAATCCTTGCATTTGATATAGCGTCACAGAATATACTGTAAAATTAATTGACTATATACTTTGGGTGAAAAAAACAGCCAATTGCACACAGCAGTGTCCCACAAACAGTCTTGGATTGAGTGACCAAATTATTATTTTTTTAAGGATTATTATCACCAGAAAAGCGATCAGCCAATTGACTAACAACTGGGTTCCTACTTACTGTTAGGTAAACAGAGGCATGTAGAGTGAGGAAACTTGGCAAACATTTCACGCTGCCGGGAATAGAACCCAGGTCTCTCGCTTGCGAGCCGAGTGCTCTAACCACTGAGCTACAGGACTAAATAGCTGGAATGTTAACAGCATCAGATCTTTCAGTTGGATACATCTCTCATTGGTGTAGAATAGAAATTGAGAGACACCCCCACAACCCCCCCACATCCAAAGAGCAATTTCTCCAGTGAGGAAATGTCTCAATATGACCCTAACCCAATATCACACCAAGGTCAGTTACATTTACCAACCAAGGTGAGTAATTTACTGATGTTTGGAGATTAATTCCCTTTGGAAGCTGGTATCAGCACAGTGCAATGCTCTACCCTGAAATGTGTGCGTAAAAGGATGAAAGTGGATCGTTCTCTAAGAACTAAAAAACACAGGAGGCATCTTTAGCGCATTGTCTAGATGCCTAACTACAGAGGTTTCTTTAAGTTCCAGATAACTAAATGCTGCCAACCTGATCTTCAATAAAAAGAACCACACACACAGACACAAGNAAAAACTGAGGTACAAAAAGAAACTTCCATACATCGATTCCTCCGAAAAGATTGGCGCTTTCACCAATGCTTTCTTCAATGTAGGTGCGCTCCTCCTCTGTGATCGTGGGGTGTGCAGCTGGACTTTCATAAGACACCAGAATCCAGAACATGTACCACACTATTCCGAAAGACCCTAGGCCACAAATTGAGAAGAAAAGCAATAACTTAAAAGATCAGATGCAGAATCAGATGGCAGGTGTGTCATAAACAAGGTTTTAACATAACATAACATGTAAGAGCAGGAGTAGGCCATTCGGCCCTTCGAGCCTGCCCCGCCATTCAATCATGGCTGATCTTCTAATCTAACTCCAGCTAATACCATAACCCTGCTTTATCCCCATATCCCTTAATCCCTTTTACAATAAGAAATATATCTATCTCAGTCTTTATTCCACTATACAACTATCAATAGTTTGATAACTTGAGTCACCATACAACATTTTGATATATACTTAATATCCAATTTTTGGGGGGGGTCAGAGAATGATGAGACAACTGTGACGTACGTGTATTTGTTATGATAACTGGTTTTAAGTGATGCACGTGCGTGTGTGCGTTGTGTGTATAGTGTCAAAAAACAAAATTTGAAATCTTCTTTTAAAAATAACCGAACGACTCTAGAATACAAAAGGGGAATTGAAATAGCTTTTTAAGAGCAACGCGAACTCAGGGCGTTGCCTAACAACGATAACATATTTAGTGCATTGCATTTTCATGCTTGTTTCACATGACTCACCGTAGACATAAAACACAGATGGCCATCCTGTGTATTGCACCAGAATCCCAGCTAAAGGCATGGCAATTACAGCGCCTGCGTACGAACCTGTAAGGTGATCGTGTACAATTAGATTCCGTTGCAACGTTACACTCCAACAACATGTCATGCCTTGGGTTTTTTTTTTTTTGCAAAGGAAAGCTTTACTGGAGAAACAAAATACTAATTACCACAAAACGAGGTGGTTGCCAGCCTGCTCCTCTCTAGTGGTGGAGCCCATTTACTCCATATGCCATGGCAGGCTGGATACGTGACTCCCTGCAAACATACATGATTTATGGTTTGACAATAATACGCAAGTCTGGTCTGCAATTAGCAAGCAGTGATTTCAGTAAGAATCGATACACGCCTCTCACAAATGGCTGATTCAGAAGAAAGATATCCAGTCGGTGGACACTTTTATTTTTATTTTGCTGGGGAGGTGGGAAAGCCAAAGTGAAGCGGTGCATTTGAATCAATTCCGCATTTAACTCAATTAACGCAAAACAAACACCATATATCTTTAAACTTAGACGTCGGTTCAAAAAAATATATAGAACTCACCGTATTGGTCGGTGGCTACTACATTGGTGAGTTATGAGAGAGTGGATGAGTTTTTCCACCTCTCTCTTTGGGGGTGTAATCTTTTTATTGCGGGAGAGTTCCTACTTACCTCCACCAGTCCCTGAAGGATCCTGACAAAGATTACACAGCCAAAATGGGTTTTAGCTGCAGATGGGATGATCATATTGAGAGTGGAGGTGAGAAAGATAGCAGCACCAAACACTCTGAAACAGGGAGACACACAAATAAGATCAGCACAAACACACACAGCCTCGCCTCAGATGCTCAGTCTTTCCTCTCAGGCTCATGCTTTCCAAGGTTAGGATCTTGCAGCGACGATTGCAATATACTTTAACAGATGCATTGGTTTTTTGGGGGCAAATGATTTTTTTTTTGGGGGGGTGTGGGGGGTCCTGTCTGCCTGTCAGATGCGATTTGCATCAATGCAACGGGATTTTTCCGCCAGACAATAACATTAAGGGACTGGGGTTTATTGAAATGAGATCATTGGAAGAGAGAATAATGGGAAATGATTCAATATCAAGTGATTAATATGTAATATCTGCTTAATTAACTCTGAAGCAGACCCTGCGGCGCTTTAGCAGGAGCAAAGTGCCAGAGACACAATGTGGGGTCTCCAAAGGCGTCACCTTTTGCACGACCTGAATTTTATTTATCTCCAGCGAAAGGGGAGGGAGTGGGGGAGGGAGTGGGGGAGGCCACAGCTATCCAAACCCAGGGTTTAGCTGTGAAGCTTTCTCCCCATGAGTGCAACCAAACGGATTCGGAGCAACTTTAGCTCAAAGATGGTGCAAATCTTGTCCCGAGGAATACGGTTCCTTTCATCCAAAGTTTCACGAAATGCCACAATAATGACACTGAAGGCGTAAATAAATAAGTATCCCAAAGACCAGTGATTCTGTTAGTTGTGCCACTTGCACTACAGTTCAGCTCATTAGTGGATGAATGCTGTAAGACCCGAGTATAGTATTGCACATGTTATTTGGTTCAACACTAAAGGAGAGTGAGGGCTGTGTTTGTGTCACCATCAGATATTGCTATTCGTTGGGCACAAAGCCTCAGAACGTGGATTCGTCGCAAATTGACACTTGGAACATTTCAATTTAGACAAATTTGCTCTGTTTGAACATCTGCGGTCACTGGGGGACGATTTAATATATTTTTTTGTGTGTGGGGGTGGAGAGGAGGGTGAGGGGGGGGGTTCATTAATCAGTGATCGTCATTAAACTTCTAAATCGCTTCACATTAGCTTAAATGTAAATGAAATGAGCGCCGGGCATATGGTGCGGAGTACATTAAGAGTCATGTATATTAAAAAAAATCCTGGGTGCAGAGAAAATAAATCTCCTTTCTAGCTGAGATCAAGACATCCCCGAGTTGCCACACACTCTCCTTCACTAAATTCCGACACAAAACGCAGCCCCGAATCAATCACAGGCATTCCTTAAGGAAATAGCCCCAAAAAAATCTCTCAGAGTTGTTGCTTTTAACCATTCTCTCCTTTGTGTGTGTGTGTGTGTGTGTGTGTGTGCCTCAGTCCAGAGCTATGTTCAATGTGCTTGAGTGGTCAGACATCAGCAGTTTGGTTTGTAACGTGTTAATATTAACGAAGGAGAATCGAATAGGTGTATAATTATACCTGAACTGGCACAGTATTCCTTACGGTGCTTTGTCACATTGGCCTATTGCTGTGTGTTCAAATGCACACACCGAGATTTTCGTGATATATAATAATAATTATATAATTATATTATAGAATAATTAGAGACTATTGTGGCTGCTGTTCCCGGAAAAGTAGTTGTGGTGAAATAAGGAGCTTAAGAAATAAGCGCATTATTAACATTAAACCTAGAGAGGTTAAATAGCTAAAAAAAAACACTACACACACACACACACACACATACACATACACACGAACTTCTTCTTTCATTTTTGAAGGGGAATTTGCTTGAAGCGGAATAGGTGGTAATATTCCCAGTAATGTCACCACAGGGATTGAACAGTAACGCACTCCACATTAAGTGAAACCCAAGTTATTACTCGACTGCACTCGAAGTTATTAAGGCTGAAAATGATGACTCCCTCCCCCCCCCCCCCCCCCCCACCCTCCTCCCCCCTCCTCCCCCCACCCCAACCATTTCGATCTCTCTTTCTCTCTTTTCAAGAACAAATTAGACGGAAATTCAGCAAAGGAGAATTACATTTCTCTCATGGCATCCCGAAATGTATGAAACCATTCATTACTTTAAATTCAATTTCGAAAGTCTTTGTGTTCTCTTCTAAATCTATCTCTTTCTGATATATATATATATATAAAAATATTATATAAAAATCTACATTATCTGTTGCCGACAGTGGGACAGTCTATCCATCAGCAGCTAAATAAATCTGTGCTGCGATTTGAACCCGGGATATGACTGCGTGGAGTTGTGTGGATAAACAACAAAGTACAAATGTTGTCTTGCGACACCCGCGCCCTCTGACACCGGAATGTTTGATCTTTTACAGACACATCGCATTCTCTCAGTCTGACCTCGAACCTCAAGTCGTTAGTACAGTACAACCCAAAGGGCAGCGAGAGCTATGGTCGAAAGTATTCCTTGGTGGAGGATGGCTGACATTAATCCCATTCTGCTATCAATTGTTCCATTGTTTTCAGCATTCAAAGCTCTTACAACTCTAATCCATGGAGAGAAAACTATTCTGGAAAAAAATTGATATATATATATGTGTATATATATATATTTAAAAAAGCACGTGAAATAAATACCCTTTCCCAAACATACAGTGTAATATTGCTTTGTACGGTCGACCAAGATGAAGATTTATCCACATTATTTTGCAAACGGACCTGTGTGTTTCATTGCAGTTGGATCATTACCTGTGGACTATTCGGTGCAAAATAAGTCGTTACTGGGGAACGAACGCGGGTTTAACATAATATTATTGGGAATATTATCGGATCATCTCGCCGTGTATTCAACCGCAATGGATGCACAGCAGATGAAATCAGGTTTGCAAAAATGGATTGGCCGCACCTCTGATGGTACAGAGAGCTCCACCCTGTGAGCTCCCGCACCTTTCATGATATCACTTCATTCTGAAGCCTCTCAGACCCATCGGATCCAGCGATGGAACAAGAAACAGTCTGACATCAAACCCGCCAGGAAGCTATTTATTAATTACTCAACTGCCCCAGAGAACTGTTTCTCTGTGGTTTTCACCGCATTCTTAGCCCCTTTTGAACGACTGCTATATCCTACAGTCACATATCTAAGCCACTGACACACTTATTTTGGCCATTGCTGTTTTGATCCATTCATAAACTCTTAGGCTCTGGTTCTAAGGAAAGACACACAGTAAAACGATGCTCGAAGACCATGTCGGTAACGCGTGTGAAGATCTCCTCACAGGTACAGGGAAGAGTCTCGTCACTTTTAAAGACAATTCAAGAAATGGTGCAAAAACTGATTCGCAGTTTGATACGTGTCAAATTAATTCGTGGTTTACGTGCAGCATTTTGTCGTTCAAATTCTACACCGAAGAAGAAATGGTATACTTTGACACTAAACGTGTTAGCTCAGAGATGACAATGACTCGTAGAAATTATTTTATATTTGGTCCTTCGCTGATTTTAATTAATTCAACTGGGTTTGTGCTGCTTCAGTGTTACAGATATTCGCATTCTACTCCCGTTAGTGCAGTTGAATAAACCTGACGTCGGTGTCAATCCAAATTTAATAGCAGAAACTCGCCATCTATCATTGTCCACTTATGACACTGCGCAATACCTTTTCTTTTAAAAATACACATATATCAAAATAAAAAGATCTGCTGAACCGAGCTCCGCATTCCACCTGCACCAGAGTGTGCACATGGCGTTGGTTTGCAAGGGGACGCGACGCATTTACATTGGTGCAGTGTGGCAAGAGACTGCTCAAGCCTTTGCTCGCCTGGCTATGAAGTTATCTTAACCTCTTGCAGTGGGAGGTGTGCTCGCCTACGTTTCAATCCCTGCTGACTGCTGTGTTATTTTCCTGCCGAGCAACTGCAGAACGCCACTTATTACCGCGCAGCACTGAGCAGCTCCCGGGCACGTAGGGTCCAAAGGATCCTTCAAATAGCTGCAGTGAAGTTGACTGGGGGGTTGCAGGGCTGACTTGTGCCACGGTGTCAAGGGCCAGGCGTTGGATGCTCCTCCAGTCTCAGTTACTAACGAGCAGAGACAGCGAGTTGGGAGCTTGCTGTTGGGAAAACCGATTTGCAGCGAAACATCACTGGGAGTGGCCAACTCTTGCGCTTCGTGTTGCGCAACCAGGGGATGGGGATCGAGGCCAACGACAAACCTTAGGGAAACTCAAAAGCCTTGTCTGTAATATTCACGGGATTGGAAATTGCAGGAGGGTGGTTTTAGTCAGCCCCTGGCGAAGAACACGACCAGAGAGCCAAAGAAACGTTCATTATGAGCCAGATTTGTGCTCCAGATCCATTGGGGGGGTGGGGGGGGGGGGGGGGGTGACGAGGCTGTTATCTAACTGAGAGCAGTCCATGTTATGTACTTAAACAGTCACATCTGACGTTCCTTTGTTTGCACTGTACAATTTCAAGCTTTGTTTTCAACGATAATACCGTGTGCAGGTAATATTTAATTCTCCTTTATACCACATGACTAGAATGATTAAACAAAAAAGGCGAATTTACGGTTGTGAAGTCTTCACCTTATGCCCGAAAACACACATATTTATTTTAAATAACACCGCACACACGCGCAACCCCGTGTGTGTGCGGTCGATTAATCTTATAATAATAATAATAATAATCCTTGCATTTAATATAGCGCTTTTCACGTCGGGAGGACGTCCCAAAGCGCTTCACAGAACACACTGTAAAGTGAATTGACTGTATATTTGTGGGCGAACGCGGCAGCCAATTGCGCACAGCAATGTCCCACAAACAGTCGTAGATTGAAAATGACCCAATTTATTATTGTTTTATTTTGGAGGGATTATTATTACCCAAACTGTCACATGTATCAATGCTGTATCTATGCTGAATCTTAACGACAAATTCAGGTCCACTCGCAATGACACAGTGACGATCTTCGGGCCGTTAACCGAGGACAAGAATTGAGAGCGTCCCCTGAAAGAGTGTGGGTTTGCATTGGAATTTCGCTGCAGCTTTTAGGGAAAAAAAATCGAACCGAAATCCGGGTGAAATCGCAGAAAGTTCAAAAAATCGCGACGGATTAGGGTACGTGCACCGGTTTGCAAATCTCTTAAGAGAGGGTGTTTTTTGCATGAAATAGCGCTGTTACAGAATTTTTCCCCGAGGTGTGGAGGCTGCAAAAAAATATATATATATAGATATGCGTCAGAATCAAAGGTTACAGTGCCTTTGAGCTCACACTGCACTACAGATTGAGTCGGATCATCGAGATCCACGTCGATTCCAGCAAACACGCAAGAAACCATCCCAGACCCAAGAGAGGAACTCGAGGTAAACCTCACACACAGACATCAGAAACGCCGGCGTTTTTTTTTGGGGGGGGGGGGGGGGGTGGGGGGGGGGGATTTAAATTGGCAAATGCGAACTTGCGATGTCGCAGTGATAAACCGATGCAAAAGTGTGCGGCAGAAATCGACGTGAAGTCATTGCAACTTGTTGCTTAACAAACCAAATGACACCCCCACCCATCCACCCACCCACACACACACACACACACACAAAAATAATAGTAATGCAATGCCTTGAACCGCTTAATTGGAGGAAGGCACGAAATTGTGAGAAAATTCGCTGCTGCTCTAAATGATTTGCTACAAACTCTCACCTCAACTATCACCACAACAAGTTTATAGGCTGCACACCATTGATCACCATTTGTTTGCTCGCATTTGATGTGTACCTGTGCCTCTTTTTTATATAAAAAAACACCCCCAACCTTCGCATCTCCTGAACTGGACGCTGTTTAATTAAGTTTGCAGTTAAACCCTATTTCACACCGAGAACACATGGAGTGGTTTACAGCACTGTTAGTGTGTCGCAGAGATTGTTCTGGAAATCCAAATAAAATCTCGCTGACTCTCTCTTTTTTTTTAAAAAAAAAGGAATCTCATTGAGTTTGTGGGGCAAACGGATTCCCTCCGCGTAAAAAAAAAATGCTCAGGTTATATATAACATTATTGTTTTCGTGCTTGATATCAAGCTATTTTTTCTTGCCATGAAATGCTTCATGGAAAAGATGCAGGTGCAAACATCAAATAAAATAATGAGGAAGTTATGGATTCTTTGAGGGGGGGGGGAAGGAAACGTCGAGTATTTACAGCTGTCGATGCCTCAGGAATAACAGAAACTTGCAAACTCGATGTTTGACAATGCACTTTCTTTGGGGCTTATGCTATTATGGACTGAATGACTCAAACGAATTTCCACAGCGAAATTGTTTGTCATCACGTTTGCAAGAAAAATCGCTCAAATAACACGTCAACCAATTTTCTTTGATCCTTCGTCGGTTTCGGTGAGACAGCATCACCGACGCAAACGAAATGCAGAGTAATAATAATAATAATAATAATAATAATAATAATAATAACAAGAATAACGTTAGGGCACTGTTTATGGTTCAATCCGCTGAGTCTAGGATTAGGCAATGCCATTCACCTCTTGCAAAAAAAAAACCCCATAGATATTGATTTGAATAGCCAACGGGTTAAAGTAAGTGCTTCGAAATAGGTAGTGATTTGCACATTTCACTTAGGATTCAACTCGAGATCATTTGGCGCGTGGATTGCGATGGTTGAGAATGTTTCACGCCCGTTCAAAGGATTTAACGTAGGTCGTTTATACGTGGGATTGCATCGCATCTCGAGGAAGGAAAATAGGCCATTGGGCCCCAGCTAAACAGTGCTGAACTTTCAGCAGTTCGTGCATTTATTTTAACATGGCTGCAGGCACGGACATTCCCGTGGGGAGGTGTCCAACTCGGGTCTGGTTTGCATTACTCCAAACTCTGAAACGTGGTGATGCATTTCCTCCGTGTATCACACACCTGGCTATGCAAAATATAGTATTTTAAAAATGATTTAACCTCCCCCCCCCCCCCCCCCACCACCCCCCTCCTCCCACGTTATTCCAAACGCTGTTCAAATAGAAATCCAGTGCAATGCCAATAGCCCACATAGCACTCCTTAGTTAAAAGCTGAGAGTAATGTACTTTCCTTCCCAGCTTTCTGGAAGTGGCTACAGTTTTTTTTTTGTTGCTCGACAGCATTTTTTGTTTGCTCATTCTGATGAGGGTGAATGAATAGACGGGCACTAGGATCCAGTTGGCAGCGTGCGTGACTGGGATTAAAGATGAACTGGTTTGGGAGTCTCAGGAGATCCAATTAACAGGTTGGCTGACACCCCTGTGTACTGAAATATCATCAAACACCATAGAAACGGGTCGTGCACTGTCCCTCAAGTCATCTCTACATCTGTACGGCATTGCAATTGTAATCAGCCTCCCCCCCCCCCCCCCCCACCCCACCCCCCCACCACATTGCCTCCAATCTACGTGCGTAAACTGAGGTTGTCAAGTCGCAATACTATTTTTATTTCATCCTTCTCAACGTTTTCACGAAAATCAACCTTTCATAGCTTATCAACATTTTTTTAAAAAAAATCTATTTTAAAAAATGAGATCAGACGGAACAAACGAAGGTCGAATCGGTTCGGACGCCTCTGCGTTGTATTTTTTTTATATGGCAATAACCCGATCCCCTGTTTTTTGCCTTTTTATTCTTTAAAAGGAATTTGCCGTATTTTGCGTTCGAATGTGCCATAAATGTACACGATTCGCCGAGACCGAGAGAGACATTCATTCACATCAAACAAGCATTGGATTGTGTGGCTCATGAGATTTTCGGGGGAGTATAAGTAAAATGTATGTACAGCAGTTTGGAATATCAGCTTCAGGACAGAATGGTTGAATTAAATAAGGATTCAAGTTTGAACGCTGGAATTTGTACAAACGTGTGCTGCACTGTCCTATCATTTATGTTGAAGATGCTGTTGGACGGGTAGTAAATTTCTCGCCTCATTTAGGATTATTTTCTCACATCATTAGCGAGGATTATTCTCCTTGGAGCAGAGAAGGTTAAGAGGAAACTTAATCGAAGTTTTCAAAGCGATGAGGGGATTCCATAGTTGTTAAAAGAAATAGAGGAGAGGAGACTTTTTTTTACACACACACACAGGGAGTTGTTGGGCTCTGGAATGCATCGCCTGAAAGGCTAATGGAAGCTCATTCAATACCAACTTTTAAGAGAGAAGCAGATCATTATTCGGGGAGGACAAGTTTGCAGAGCTATGGGGAGAGTGGGATTGCTTTGGATAACTCTTTTCAAAGAGTCAGCCCAGACCCGATGGGCCGAATGGCCTCCTTGTGTGCTGTATAATTCTATGATTCTAGGATTTATTTCGATTGATTTGGGGGGATTTTTTTTTTAAAACCAGTATCGTTGTATGTGTGTGTGTGGTGTGTGTGTGTAAAAAAAAAAACCCCACACAGCAACAAATAAGTTGACGGTTGTTCAAAACTTGCAGATTTTAAAATTGGGTGCGTATCACCCAAAATAAAATTGCCAAGAAATTGTGAAAAAAAAACAAGAATAAATTGAAATGGCCCTTTTGAGTCTTTGAATGAAAGGAGTGAGGTCCAAACATGACAGGCGAGGCTTGAATTCCCCAAACACTGCTTAATAAGACGCTTAATTTCTCTTTTAACACCAGCAATTTTACCTGTTGGCTGCCAATCTGGACGCAATGTAACCTCCAGGGATCTGAGTAACGATATATCCCCAGAAAAAAGATCCGTGGATCATTCCCACAGTTTCGGGATCCCAGTTGAACTTCGCTTTCTTCGGGGATAAAAGGAGAGCAAAAGGGATACACTCAAATTAGCCCGAACACAATTGCGCGAATATGAGCCCTTTTCGGGCGTCTTTTAAAACGAAAAGAATAAATAAATAAAATGCGAACGCTTTGCAAAGCGGAATCCTTAGGGCTGAATTTAATAAAAGATTATTTCGGAATCGTCTTGCACATTTGCTGTTTAAAATGGCAGATGGGAAAGGGAAAAAAAATAAAATGGATCTGGGCGGCTGTGCATTATTGTGGACAGCCGTGCGTTTATGTGAAAGATGTTTTTATTACAAGGGAAATCTGGCGACAAACCGAAGGAGGAGAGGCAATGAATGATTGCCAACGCAATCCACCAATCCTCACTTCATTCCTTCAGCTCCTTCATTCAGCTCAACCTCGAAGACACTCGTTTAAAACGACAGAAATTAAATTAGACCGATCCAAATGGGAGATTTTGAGAGAGCTTTGTGAATTGCAACGTGTGTGTGTGTGTGTGTGTTTTGGTGGTGGAGGTGGGGAGGGGGGGGGGGGGGGGGGGGGGGGGAGGTGTGTGGGCTTTTTGCTCACCTGCTTGATGATTTTATTCCCTTGGTGAATGGTGCTGTTGTTGACCATGTCCACTATGGCCACACCGAGGTTACACCTGATGCCAAAGGAGATGCAGAAGCCGAGGCCGCTCATGATGGCAATGATGTACCTGCGAGGCAATCCGAAGCAGGTACAGTCACACAGCACCGGTTTCTTCGGCCTGGCTTCCCGGACCCTGCCATCCTCTGTCAGCTCGATGTTCTCCCCTGTCCCCTGCTTTTTCTCCAAAACCCTGAAGCAGAAGAAAAGATTCCCATTCAGCCCAGAGAAGCGCCCATTTTTTTTGTTTTGTTTTGTTTTTGTTTTTTGTTTTCTCCCTCCTCTTCACCTATTTGGTGCAAAAAAAAAATATTCTCTGTGTGAACCCACAATTGTGTGCATCTCTGATGTGACATTTTGTTGTTGTTGTTTAATTAGAAACTGGAAGTCAGTGTACATTGATAGAGGGATGTATGCACTAACGCCTTGTTATTTTATTTCTATTGCCAAAACAGTCATAAAATACACTTCATCCGCGCACACACATGGAATGGATTATACACCTGACATTATAAGCGCAGATCAGCATCCCAAAGTCTAAATTACATACAACTCTTTAGCGGAAAAGAGCTAAAATTGTCTTTATTATTATTATTATAATTAATCATTATTTTAACACAAAATAAAAAGGTGCATTGACGGGTTATTTCACGTTTGGAACTGTTTAGGCGTGGACTAGGAATGGAGACAAATGATTTTACGCGAGGGACGTTTTAGCTGAAAATGCAAATGTCGCATTTTCATCAAAGTGACCTTCTTGTGAGTGGATATAACTTCACCAAAATACAAACGAAATATGCCCTCGGTCAAAGTGACATAAACAGTGCCCGCGGGTGCGAATGCTGAAGAGCAAATATCTGTTCAATTAAAGAGCTAACGAGGCACACGTCTGGTCCAGTTGGAATAACCGCAAGGAGGTGTGATTGGAGTTAGTTTTGGCCACACATTTTGGTCAGAGGAAAGGATAACCTAATTAAATCGCAATGTAATGCACGGAATTTTAACGAATGAGAGAGCCTCGATCCCCTTTCAGAGAAGGACGACGGGTTTCTTCAGTTGTAATAATTAATTCATGTAATAATTGCTCGTCAAAACTTCAGTGCAAACACAACAAAATGACTTTGAAAATGTACCTGAAATAGTCGCAGTTCAGCGCTTCGATGAGTTGTGTTGTGGCGATTAACTCATTGGTTGGCCAGAAAATAACGGTTTCACACAAAAAACATTGCTTTTTGTTATGTTTTGTCATTTTCTGGCCAACAAATAAGTTAATCGACGACACATTTTATTGACGCGTCTCTCTCTATCTCTCTCTCTCTCTATATATATATAGTGACCAAAAAATCCTGATACCATTACAATGTCTGATAAATCTCAAATAAATGATGATTTTTTTTAGATAATAAGGTAGCTGAAAAATAAGACTTTTTGGTCAACCTGTTATATATAATATATATAATATATATATATAATGTTTGCGTGTATGTGGATGTAAATGAATGGATATCATCTTGATTTGCAAAACTATACCGGTTAACATGATAACCAAAAGGCAAGGGACAGAAATATTTCAGATGCATGAGCATCGGAATTTAACAGACCAATTAATAAAATGTAACCCCCCCCCTCCTTACCACCACTGCTAAGTATCCAGTATTGGAAGTCTCACAGTCGTGTCAAGAGACTAACCTCACGTTGATTTTTAATCAACGAGTAATTTAATCGCAAAACTCCACACCAAAATATTGAACTTAAAGAAGAGATCAAGTTGCAAGTGTTGCTTTGATCGAAAGATATACAACTGTGGGCATCTGATCAAACAAATCGATGGGCACACAGTCCTCTCACCATTCACGTACAGTTAAGAGCCCAAATGCAGACGCAGTCATCACTCCACATATTAAATATTTATATGTTTGGTGCAAGATTTCCGTGGAAGAGATTGCACAAGGGAACTGCTGGAAAGGAATATGAACAACCATAACGTGTCTCCTCACTCCTCCTATCCCCCCCACCCCCTCCTCTCCCAAACACTGCAACAAAAAAACATTCAAACAACCTGGTGTTTTTGTCCATTTAGAATATAATAATGGGGGGGGGGGGGGGGGGGGGGGAGAGAGAAAAGTGTCGCAACAAATATGGCAGCATTTGTGATTTAAAATAACATTGCAATCAGCCACATTTAACTTATTCCCTTCTCATGAAGTCTTCTTGGAGAGATGTGTCAGAAGGAAAAGAGAAAACGAGAAAGGGAGAGAGAAGGAGAGAGAGAGAGAGAGAGAGAGAGGGGGGGGGGGGGGGGGGTTGGAAATGAAAGGACACCACGTACGTACATATTCCTATTTGCAAACCTGGTCACTCCAGGACTTGAGAGTCGCAATAATTAAATACACGTCTCCCCCCAAAAGCCTTTTGTGTTCAAGTTCGCAATTGCTAAACAGAGCCCTTTTCGTTCGACTGTATGCGTGCGAATTCTTTTTCTTTAAAAAAAAACACATTCAATCACGAGAAAATCACTTAAAAAATGTCAGCAGCCTTACTTGTACAGGTGTCCGAGCGATTTTCCAGCAAAATTTTTGATGCCCTCTTTGCTGGGGGCAAAGACTCGTTCCTTTATAGTATCCATCCCCTCGCAGGACGGCGTTCAAGTCGACTCACTGCTCACCAAAGTGGTCATACCCCACAGATAATAAATGTTCATCACGGGCTCGGAATGAATTTGGTAGAATTATCAAACGCTTCACCCACCCCCCAACCCCCCTCCACCACCAGACCCCCACCAGCCCCTCACCCTCCTCCTCCTCCTCCTCCTCCTCCCCAAGATACACAGGATGTTGAGACGCCTACATAAGGGGTTCTCAAGACGTCGAGATTCCCAAGTTGAGAGAGAGACAGACACAGAGAGAGAGAGAGAGAGAGAGAGAGGGAGAAAAAAAAAAGAAGGGGATTCTGCGAGGAGGTCTTTTAGGTCGTCTGTCTGGATGGAGCCACAGAAGATTCAGGGAGAGCCATGGTGCCTGACTTCACACGTTGCTGTTAAAAGAAGAAGGAGGAAAAAAAAAAATCCCTCTGAACGCTGCCTATAGATTGCAGCCAATAACACACACACACACACACACGCACGCACACACCCACGAAAAGAGGTCCATAAATACGCACGAGTTGCAAGTCGTGGTTAGAGGCAGAACAAAACTACCCAAACGCAATCGCTTGTTGGAGGAGTTTCATGGGGAGGGGAGGGGTGGGGAGGGGAGGGGAGAGGAGGGGAGGGGGGGAGAGGAGGGGAGGAGGGGAGGGAGGGAGAGGAGGGGAGGAGGGAGGGAGGGAGGAGCACTTTCAGCACCAAGGACAGAGTCAATGTGCGGTGAAGGTGCGGTCCTTGTTGGGGTGGAGGAGGGTCGGGGTGGGGGAGGGTCGGGGTGGAGGAGGTTGGGTGATGGTTCTGACCAACTTTCTTGGCGATTTGATCGGATTTCAGCAAATCCCTCCCCACCGCAAGGCTGTGCTCTGGGCTGCGGATGCTATGGAAACCACATCAGAGATTCGATCATCTCACCACAGGTTTCTGGGCTGCGACTCAGCCTCAACACAGAGCTGGAGTTTATTAAAAAATTAACAAGTTCCCCCCCCCACCCTCTCCACACCATCCCACCCCCTCCTCTCCACCAACCCCCCCCACACACACACCCCACATCACCACCAATTCCCACGTTGACCTCTGGTGACGTGAAAGCCAAACCCTGGTGTTCTCATCACTGACATTTGTGCTTTTTATATCAAGTTTCCTGATTTATTGAAGACGTGCGGAGACCCACAAAAAAAAGAGAGCACATGTCCTTTTGCCCGTTTTAGCACTATAAAAGATTCATGATAACGTGCCATCCGCCAAACTGATCTCACACAGTTGGAGCACATTACATAACTGTAACTGACGCAAATTCTTTTTCTCTATTTCCCAAAGGCTCATATGCAAATATAGCGACTCGGATTTTTTTTTATTTGGGGGACTATGTCTGTATGTATGTATGTATGTGTGTGTGTGTGTGTGTGTGTGTGTGTGTATGGATGGATGGATGGATGGATGGATCACACAAAATAAATATTGGCTTGAGTCAGGGTCAGTTCTTTGGGAACCCAAAAGTTGACTGAACATTGCAAACCGTTTCCCCACATAAGATTCATTTGAATAAAACTTTAGACTCGAAATCCTACAGCGTTTAAACATGTCATTGCTGAAAGTGGGTGTGTAAAAAAAGGCTCAACATTGTGTATTTGTTGCCATGAAGGAAGCTTTTTGTTTGGTCCACCACTCCGCCTGGTGGTCGCAAACCAGTACTGCTTCGGGTCACCAATTCACCACAGCACTTGGGTTTCAGTTTCCAATGGGTTGGAAGGACCATCAGTGAAAGTTGGCCCAGAATTGCAGTGAACACAAAAAGGCTACATTAGGATGGGATTCCCTCCAGCTCCAACATTGACCTACATAAAGTCAATGATCCATTGGGTCGCCGGCAGACAATATCATTCTCTGGCCAGGTTCAGATTTCCAAACAAAGTACAGTGCTGGTTACAAACCGAGCTATTGGAGTACTGTACCTCCTTGTTCTTCTGCAAGGAAAATATTTCACCACTTCGTCTAAATCGTTTGAGTGACGTTCGTCTCCGCTCTCACACATACTATGAATTCCATCAACCCATTTATATTTCACCTGGGCTATAACTGGTATGGAACAGATTCCGGTGTACGCATGGCTATTTTTACAGGCGGGGAGGAAAATTAATCACTGCCAAATATCTATCCCTCATGTGACTCACTGTTAGCATATTTTTGCAATATAAGTACATAGGTATCATTTCGTAACAATGCAGTTCATTCCTTTCCTGGGGCGCTTTCTGTGAGATGGTTGCATAAAGATAATTTTAAAATGTTAAACGTCTGAAATGGTGGTGGGCAGCAAGAGTTAATATTCATCATAATGAGAAAACGTGCAATCAACTTCTTTAAAGTAATCTTAACAGTAGTGTCGTGAATGTGAATTTTATGCAGTGAAAAACAAAATGAATGAAGGGCACCTGACCCCAAAAAACTTATGGTAATGTTATATTTTTTTGTAAACTGTGGTAAAAATGGTACAAGGAGCAACATTGAGATTTGCAGGTGATGTATACAATATATGCAGAAGTAATTACAAATTTGATAGAAATCTATAGGTGCAGAATTTCTGCAAAATTTACTAATCAGCACTTTTCTCACAGGTTCTATGATAAAAAACATGGAAAAGTGGGCTTACTATTTTCAGCTAAATGGATTCTTTTGCACAATTCTGAACTTTTAAAAGCACTCAACTCCATTCAAAATGCCATCAGTATGATCTCGACAGATACCATATGAGCAACAGTGCAAATTAGCACCCTCTGGAATAAGTACCAATCACCATTTGGTTTTCCTTCCAAAGCTCTCCGTTCAGCAGTTTCCAGGTCTTTTTTTTAACCTCTTATAGGTGAGCAATAGAAATGGAAGAAGAAATAACTTTGCTTCAATTTCTGCTGGATATGATTTTGTACATCAGCTGACAGAGGTAGGGTGGCAGCAATCTACACCACAGAGTCGCTAATAACATAATTAATAAAAAGCTCAATTATCTTCTAATTTAATAAACTAATTGCATCTTAAACAGTGAAAGTTCAAAAGTGTGCAAATTAATACCCTGCATTGAAATATGCCAATTTGCCCAAACGTGCGCAGTTACCCAATGTATTATGTGGTTTTACAAGAATATTAGTGGTTACAATAGTAATGTTTGAAAGGCTTCATTTTATGGCCAACTTATTTGGTAGAATATAAACGTAAATAATTCACGGGCCAAGAAATGGCTTATGCATAATGCTGTATATTTGATTCTGTGACCCATGAAAGGGTTGCATTCTAGATCAATGCAATCATTATTAATTTAAGTATTAGGATATTATTATAAAATAATCTTAGAGGTAAGCAGACTTTAGTATTATATTCAATGTTCATGGCTTAACGTGAGTAAACATTTATTGAAGTATTAGCAATCTGTTCCAATCAATATCCATGTAAATGTGTTAACACATATTAAGCACATAGCTGGCCAATTTTATTCCTCGGTTTATTCAGCGTTATCTCTTCTATAAACATAATCACATATGACAAAATAAGAGAACAAATGTGTGCAATCTAATTTATCTAACAATGAAAATGAATCAAATGTATAAAATATTTCAACATATCTTCAAGCATTGTGGATACATACTTTTATGTTCTACACATTTGTTCACTTCTGTATTGTAGAAGTGAAACTCAATTCAGATTTCCCCCATTCATGAGGTAGGTAACACTTGTGATTTTGCTGCTCAGATGGTGTCATGTAGCTCCGACCCACCCAACATTTCCCCACTCACACCATTGGAAGGATTGGCACTGAAAAACAATGACTCCACACTGGGAAGATTAGGCAGGAGATCGACTGAATAAAATCATAAGAAATTATCCATACCCTAAATTAATTTGCTGTTTTAAGTACAAATCCACTATTTCAGCAAGGCTTGTAACGTACGATAAAGAAGGTACAAAAATTAACAAATTGATATACTTCTGGAATTATTTCTAAAAAGTTTCAACCATCCCAAAATAGATTGTATAGGATGTGAACCTGAAATGTTTTGAGAATAATTCTGCGAGCCACTGTTATTGTGCAATGGATATTCAGTATGAAAGAGCAAAAGCATGAAAGGTGAATTCAACCACACAGGAAAAGTCTTTATCTACGATGCGTGTAGGAGAGGTGTTCTTTCTCCACATGTTGTTGGATTTCTCCTCTTTTTCCATTTATCGTATGGACAAGGGGGGAAATATGGCTTATTTCTCTCCAAAATAAACTGCAGTGTTAAACCACAGAGAAACAGCAATGCCCATACACCTGTCAGGACATAATCTAAGGAGAGAGAGAGAGAGAAAAAAAGTTTGGTTTTGTCACGCTCAAATATAGAATAAAGGCAACACAGACCTTATAAGGCTGACGCCAATCTCTAAAGGCCCCATTTTCATGAAAGTCAAGTGAACAGTTAAGGTACTGAGGCAGATTGCTGCATATAGATGGATCACGAACCAGTCAATCCTGTTCACTCTCAACAAACCAATCTCGGAAACAGACCAAGGCTGACAAGGAGAAAGTGGTTTGGCCATTTGATCTAGATTTCATTTGATCAGAGGTTAGATTTTTTTTAAAGAAAAGTAAATGATAATGGATGATGCATGAAGACTAAGTGAGCACGAGTTTCCGGCCCTCCAAATTAAAGACTCGGTCTTCAGCCCCACCATCAACAATTCAATCCACAATGATCCAACTACCGTACCTGTCAACTGAAAGGGTACAGAACCACTGGACACTTTGGCAAAGTCGGGGTAAATTGCTCTCTTGATGATATTCAGAATGATGTAAGTCAGGCTAGTGTAGATATAAACCCCCACTGCAACAATTACAGCGTAAGACCCAACCAGTGCACACGTGATAATGTTGAGCTGTTTAGAAAATAAAATATAAAAAATATAATAGTTAGCTTTTTTAAAAAAAAGTACAATGACAAACATTACACATTTAAAAAAGAACAATTATTCATTGGTGAAAGAGAATTAAATACTGCGATTATTTGACACGTACCACATTCTATCCTGTGTGAAGGCTGGTGATTTTAAAAGTGTTAACTGCCAATTAAACAGGTTTAGTCATTTTTATTACCGAGAGCTGTAAGGGGGGGTGGTCAAGGAAACTCCAGAGGCACCAAAACCCACAAACTCGAAGCTGAAGTGTTGCCGTTATTTTCAACATTGCTGGCTGTAGATATAGTCCTAACACTTGGAGCAAGAATGAATATTCAGCTATTCTCAAGTTTAAATGAGGTTCAGTGTATTGTGGAGGAAAATAAAATCTCTGTAGCAAGCATGTTAAAGCTGCTTCAAGTCAAAAACACTTTGAATTTGACATTTCAATGATACAGTCCAGCACAAGATCTATAACGCGAGGAAAGCAAATTTTTGGTCGTGCACATTTGGTCTTCAACTAAATCAACAGGTTCATCTTTGCTCACACTTGCTTCAAGATGAGCAAATAAGTTACTAAAAATCAATTACCTGATAAACGTGTACAAAACATGACACGACATGTTACAGCGAACCCTGTTTACACTACATCAGATGTAATTGGAAACATTTGCAGAGGTTAAAATTTTACTTGCTTCTAATGTAAATGTTTATTGTTATGTGTTTTGCCCAGGGGTTCTCTCCTCTGTTTGTGCCAATTATACTTCTGTGAGTAAGACAGTTCATGGGGATAGATGTCGTAATATAGCAAGTCAGCACAGGTGTTCAATCTAACTAAAAATGGAACTTAAAATTTTCGCCCACAGTCAATTCACTTTACAGTGTGTTCTGTGAAGCGCTTTCAGACATCTCGAAGACGTGATAGAGCACTATATCAAATGCAAGGATTATTATCAACTTTACAAAGAACAGTAGTTTATTGCACCACTGTTAAGGGAACATTTTGAACTGATATGAGCACATCAGTATTTTTAACATTGTTACTTACTGCTTTTGAAATAGGAAGCAGAACTGTAGGAACCACCAGCATCACACAGACATAGGACATCCAGAAGTTGAAATCATTGCGGAATAAAGTAAAATTTGCTGTTGGGGTAAAAAAAATAAAAGTTGGTATCCAAGAGCAATTCAACACAGACATAGAAATTACAATACACTCCAAGTCAGGGAGAAATACTTTATTTTGAAACATCCTTCCAAAGATATTGTGTACGCACTATTTGCTTTTTGCATCTAATCTTCCTTTTTTTATTGCTTGCGAGTGCTCTAACCACTGAGCTACAGGACTCCACAATAAAAGAAAGAATAAAGGGTTAGAATAGAGGTACTAACTTGCAAATGCAAACATATAGAAGGAAACAATAAATAACACTTAAGAAGATGTGCTAAGAGCCCAGTGTTTTCTATTCCCATAAATTGAAGCATTAATAATAACAATGCAACTACTGAATACCTCTTACTGGCAAATATGAGTTTCTACAATTGTCTATATGACAATATTTGCTTCGCTTTTGATCCAATTATATTTTGTAAAGCAAAAGGTACTATTATAAATGCAAGCTGTTGAGGTAATGGTTACAAGTTTTCTCTTCCGGCTTACCAAGTGGAGTAAAGGCAACGATTGCTGCCACCAAAAAGCCCAGCGCCAATCCCACAAGCAGCACACAGAGCACAGGAACACCAAACCTCCATCTCACCAGGGACAGGGCAAAGCCGCCCATTACACCAGCTGCTACTGTGATAATCAGCCGACCTGGAAAGACAAAGCAGTTCATTCATAAAATACCCCAGTCATTGATGCTGTGAGAGCCTGGGGAACGAGGGTGCATTTTCTAGTTTTCTAGAGCTGTCATTGGAGCCCTTAAAAAACATATCTGTAAATGATGGAAGTGTATTTCTCCTTTCGCGCATACCCAGATTACAATTTCATTTGAGTGAAAACAGCTTCCTTGAAGGGGAACGGGAGTAGAGATCAGGTGTTGAGAGAAAGGCACTTGTTCGTATTCTCACTGAAGTAATGAAAAGAAACAAAAAGCCCATCCATAAAATAAACCACTAATATCTAGCATTTCCAATTCTATTACCAGTAAGTCCCTGATATAAGTTTCTTGTCATGCCCAGATTGAACTTATTGAAGCACGTTTTTAAATGGAAAGCTGAGAATCCCTTAATAAACTCTCAACAGTGCGATGTTCCAAAATCTCATCTTTAATATTGTCAAAACTCCATTACACTGAAGAGGTGTGTCTGCAGCCAAGGGTTCGGTAGAGAAATTGAAAGTGACAGGAATACACTATTCGCAATTTATATTCGGCACTTACTGACAATGTTGAGTGTGGAGAGTCGTGTTAGCAACACAAATAGCACGAACCCGAAAATCAGGAATCCAAAGAAGAAAAATTCTAGAATAAGATTTTTTTAAAAAAAAAGCTCATTAACCATCAGTCGCACAAAAACTCAACATTATTTTTTGCTTATTCACTGAGATCATCATTTGGCATCATTGTTAAGTGAGAGGCTATTTAATAAGACATCACCCTGGTATTGCCCGGAAAGTCAATCATACAGAGTGAATTTGGGGTGCTCCAATTAGAGAAAAACACTCCCTCCTTCCCCTGCCCACAATGTGCTTCAAAGTTCAACCCCATCTCTGAGAGACGCATTTTAGTATATTTAGTATATTACCAACACATTTTTGCAAATAACAAAAACACTTGCATAAGAAATGGCTCAGAATACATACAATACATTCAGTTAATAGTCCTAAAAAGTTAAGAGCTGTGCATTGTCCTCAAGATGATGTGCAACAAATGCCATCAGGGATAGAATGAATGCTTAGATATCTTGACTTAGGTTAAGGATAATGTAACCCAGGGGAAAAAGGCATTATGATATGGGCCCACTCCCAATTCTGAGATTGTATTTTTTTTAAAAAACTGAGGAAATAATCTTGAAAACAGCCTGTATTTAACTGGACACTGGGTAACCAGGAATCTTCACATTAGATATAGGTTTTCCGATACAATTTTTTTAAAACTAGTGGACAACGTACGACACATTTTTTGAGGACATTATAATCAACCACTTTACCTGCTTCAAAGATTCTGTGCCCAAAAAAGCACAGAATTAACCCATAGAGACCAATTGCTGTGCAGATAACCTGCATACAGATGAAAGAGGAGCCTGGAAAACAGGGAAAATATTTTAAAACCATTAGCGATACCCAAAGTTTTCATTCAGTACATATCCTCACACTTCAATTGGCAACTACTCATTGATTACATTGCTGTCAACGTATTCAAAATAATTCAAATTAAGTATATTATCAACACATTTCGCAAATAACAAACACACTCGCGTTGTTACAGCCCCCAGGCCATGCTCGTACAATGGGATGGGACACATTTGGATTTTCCTTGATATAAAGTGCAGCTCCTATCACAAATTCAGTGCCGTATGGCAATTGAAACCAGGTTCTCTACCCTCAGCCCACAGTGTAGACAATGTGCTATCCAACACAATAATCATAGTCCTGAAAGTTCAATCGGGTATCAGAAAATAAGTTCAACTTTGCAAATGATGATTTGTATAAACGCTTTGCTGCAAACTGTATCTTGTTCCTCTGTTACCTGAATGCTGGCACGTGTGTCCTTCTGAGGTCAGCCTACAGGCGTATGTGGGAACAGGAAGGTAATTTGCAGAGGTGTTCAGCAGAGGGTCCCTGACAATGACACCGTATATCACTCCGATACCAATATACGAGTTAGCAAAGAGTATCGTCTGCTGGGACGAAGTTATTGTAGTGATCTATAGTGGTCAGAGAAAATAACAAATGAATAGCAAAATGCATCACACAACTAAAAGATTGATGGTCTGAAAAGAGATGAGTGGATGTTAATTTCACAAACCCTAAGATAAAAATAACCACACAAAGAGCATCTATCACTAATGTTTTCAGTGATTTCTGTAACCCATCTGTTCAAAATGGACAAACTCAATTGTTTGATCGGGTAGGATGTAGGTTGCTGTATTTAATCCTGCTAATTTTGAACATGTTTTTCCTATTATGAAACATAGATGTTTTCTCATTTAGAAGGCAAATTTAAAACAATTAAAACCAATGGATACAGATCTTTTGGCTGATGGAGGGCGTCATACGGAAAGAACTGTGAAGTACAACAGTGTAAAGAGCTGACTGTGAAGGTGAACAAATTTACAATCACAAGCCTTTACATGCCTTTGGGCTGTTCAGAAATGTGGCAACTTGTGCATATATACAGGAACATCTGCCTTCCTCTGCAAATAGCTTCTCGATGAAAGCTAGCGTTAATTGGTGTAGATTATCCGAAAGCAGTCCCCTTCCTGATTCAACGGTTGCCAAAGTGAAGGTCAGAAAAATAATGCTTTCACCGATAGGAACTGGGATTCGATGTTATCCTTTCCTCGACTTGGGTGTTGCATCATTGCTTTACCTTGAGCCCATTCTGTTCCACCTTCTGCACTGACGACATTTTGCTCATTCCTTCCAGAAAGCTTTTATTGGTCATGTCATTCTCGGGTAAAAAGTACTGGTAAATGTCATAGCTCAGCCTCCATCTCGTGTGAGAGTTCATAGCAACATCGCAGGCAGGGGGAGATACCCCTCTATACAACAGACAAAGCAGCACCATTATTTATTGGTTCCTTAAAGTTACAGTTTATTTCATCAAAATTTCAGATAAAGATATATAAAGCAAAATCGCCTGCATCTTTTGCCCCGTCGATTTCAAATTAATAGACAAGTAATTGTACTTAACAACAGGTTTGCTGCCTTAAACTTGCAAACCACAAGTCAAATGGGACAAACAGTGGTACTTCAAGGTTAAACTGTAGGTGAAAGGCATTTGAATTCAATTCTGGACAACTTGCTCAGTTACATAAACAAAACTCATTCCATTAACCTCTCGGCAAATTGAAAACTATTATGGTACAGTAAAAAAAATAAAGAAGGAATGCACAGAGGCTAGGCTTTCGGTCACACTTCAAATTGAGTCCATGGCATCTGCAGGTGTTCCTCAATATTTACGAACTTACCTTGGTGCCCCCAGGTTCGCTGGTGCAAACATTACAATGGTTTCAAAGACATTGTATGTCAAATGTACATTGGGATCATTTTCTAAGATGAACTCAGTGTTGCAGGTACCAGGTACGGGATCTGAGGATAAAAATCAACGAATCAGCATTATCCAACAAGACGACCGTCAGTAGAAATAAACAAATATCCCATCACTTTCCTCGAACACCAGCCAGCCAGTTCAGCTCCAAGGAGCCCCCACTTAACTATTCATAGAAACTTACTGCAAGCACCTGTAGGGATGTCAGACAGTGCGATGCAAGTTTGTGATTCTACCCAAGTTATATAACCTGCCAACACTTACACATGAAATTTAGTTACAACTTTGCATAATTTCTCATCTAAGGATATGCATTTTATAGAGCTACTTGGCCAACCAGAGGGAGTCCAGTGCCCATGAAACTTTATCCCAAGCAGAGGGGGAAAATAAATTCAGATCCTTCAGGAAAGCGGGCAATTAATTTTGTTTAAAAAACAAATAGGAAAGCTATAACCAAATTGTTGTACCTTCAGCGGTGTAGGGAACCGCAAATAGACGTGCTGACAAAGTCTTATCTCCTCCTCGCAGGTAGAATGATACCTTGGTAGCAGCTGGTCTCAGCAGTGTGACTACACCAGCACTGGAGCTTGTATACGACGAGTCTGCAGGGAAAGTCTGAAAGAAATCCCCAAATATATATTACAGTACTTACATTTCAAGCTTCCCTTAAATGTCAAAACGGTTTCCCTAAACATTATGACCAATGGCATGTAAAGAAAAGCTGACGGCTGCAGCCATTAAAACGTGATCATCAAGAACAGATTTTCAATATAAAAATGGGACTATAATCCATATCTATTCTCCAACCTATGGAAATAGTTTGTTGATCCCGAGCAATGGTTAATACATTTCAATTTCTGGGCACAGCGATACAGCAGAAACTCAATTATTCTCGTCTCACAATCAATCCACTGTAATGTTTCCAGGAAGTTGTACTGCACTTTTGAGTTTTAAAATAGTCCGACTCTTCCCCTTCCCCAAAGGGATTAGGCGGAGTATTTCACACCTCATTAGATCTATTTTCCGGTGACGGGGTCTGCAACTGATCAATCTCAATTAGTTCACAAGCACTCCAACTGGTGCGAGAAATTCGTCATATTAGACTGAACAGAGCATCTTTGGAAATGCTATGCTTTAGTACAATTAAACTGTTTCACCTGAGTAACATTGTTAATGCCCGAGAGAACATAAAACAGCCAAGAGGCTCATGTCACAGACTACTTTTGAACACCACAGATGATTATGATTTCAAATATCATGACCTGCACACCTTTATAACTACAGTTCAAAAACAATGTGCAGGTACCATCTTGCTGCAGTTATCTGTAGGCGCCCACTTTGGAAACTCTTGATAATGTTCCAATTCCCAAGATCTTCTAGAGTCTCAAATGCAGCAGATAATTCAATTTCCATTTGTTTCAGCCCATTGAGTCTGATCCGGTTTAATCCGGAGTCCTGTAGCTCAGTGGTTAGAGCACTCGCTTTGCAAGCGAGAGACCTGAGTTCAATTCCAGGCAGAGGGCAAAACCTTGGGCAAGTTTCCTTACTCCACACAGAGCCTAATAATAATCCCTCCAAAATCAAAAACAATAATAAATTGATCATTTTCAATCTACGACTGTTTGTGGGACATTGCTGTGCGCAATTGGCTGCCGCGTTCGCCCACAAATATACAGTCAATTCACTTTACAGTGTGTTCTGTGAAGCGCTTTGGGACGTCCTCCCGACGTGAAAAGCGCTATATCAAATGCAAGGATTATTATTATTATTAATAGATAAGGCAGATTAATAGATATGAATCCCATTTTCCTGCCTTTTCTCCAACCCCTTCTGTCGATCTTCCTCTTAAACATCTCAATTAATCTGTTTCTACAGTCTTCGGTGGCAATGTATTCCATGTTTTCCCAATCCTGTGACTGAAGAAAGCATTGGGCTTCTTTTGTGAATTGTTATATCGACCAACACATATCAGCCATGCAATACTGTTTCCTTTATTAAAAAAAACAAAATATATACCTTTGATGGTGATACGGTGACATTTTGTTCCCTGGTATATACGTGAGTAACCACAGAGACGATCTCTTGGTTGATGTTTCTAACGACAACTTGTTTCCGCTCATGAGCGAGCAAAAGGACAGACACATCCTCCAAAAGAGGTATTTCAATTCTCCCTATAGTGAGAGACAATTTAAACAGCAGTATTATCATTTGAAAAATACACAGTTCTTTATGGAGACTTTGGGAAGTACGTTGAGACATTCTTGACATTACAGGTGCGGAATCAAATACATGATTTATTATTTGGAATTTCATTGATGACATAAGATTAGGTTTCTTTCTACAATGAGTAGTGTGTGTCTCCACTGGCTGGTGCGTTGGCAAAACCTTATCAATGTAAACACAAGAGAGCATGTGAAGTTATTTGTGCAATAACTGAGCTAGATTGATTAACTTTACAAGCTTTGCAAGCGAGAGACCTGGGTTCGATTCCCGGCAGGGTGAAACCTTGGACAAGTTTCCTTAGTCCACACGCCTGATAATAATCCCTCAAAAAAAATAATAAATTGCTCATTTTCAATCCACGACTGTTTGTGGGACGCTGCTGTGCGCCATTGGCTGCGCATTTCGACCACAAATATATACAGTGAATTCACTTTACAGTCTATTCTGTGAAGCGTTTTGAGACGCTTTGAAAAGCGCTATATCAAATGCAAGGATGATTATTATTATTAGCCTTTGTGAAAATCACCCGCCTGTAAATGTCAGTCTCCTGTTTTGCATTTGGGATGGGCCCCAATGTCTGATTTAATCAGCTTGTTGTTCAAGACATCAAACTAAGATAGGTAACATTTTACTTCCCAGTCTGAAATGTATCACTGCACAAGTAGAACAAGCACATTATTATGTTGTTCTTTCATGTGTAGCAGTATTTGATGTTGCAATGAGTAAAGCGATTGTATCGCTCAATTTCATCGTAGGATATTTCAGCGGGGTAAACAAAGTTATTGTCATTTCTCTGACATTTTTATGTACGTTCAATGACCAAGGAAGAGTTCCCGCAGAGACAATAGTAGCCATTCGAAGAAAACAAACAAATATAGTTTGTTACGGGTTGTTTTATTTTACATCTGTAGCAAATACCTCATAATAAAAAAACAATCCTAGCATTTTGATATAGCACCTTTCACGTTGGGAGAATGACTCACAGGATTTACTGTAAAGCGTAGTGACTGGTATTTTATAGGCAAATGTCAATTTCATTTTATTTTATAATTATTTTATAGCTTTTTATAGGTCAATGTCAATTGAGGTTAGGTACAGAGTTACAAACGCAGTGAAACATCCCCACAGTGGAACTCTCAGTCTGCTTCAGATATACCATTAAGCGTGGTGATGTGTTGTTGCATGTGATAAGACATCCAGTTAACACACCCACCCCTACTTTCCAAAAAAAGATAACGTTGACAGTTACAGTCAAAGAACTGCAGATAGCCAGAGTGAAGGGGTGGGGGGGGGGGGGGCGGGGGTTAAACCAAAGTTCACCGAAACTCCTGAGGAAGAAAAAAAAACTGAAGCTAAAGTTCACCAAAACTTAAAACACTCTGCCATCTATCTCCCTGCGAACTCAAAAGCTCAGGCTCCCCAACACATTTGCAACCCCAGCCTTTCAGTGGATGCGGACTGCTCTGCTCACGCTTGGGTCCTTTTTTTTTGCAAAACTAAAGTAGGAGCAGAGCTGAGCTGAGCTGAGGAACTAGGGGGAGGAGGGGAGAGACACAGAGACACACACACACAGAGGCTAAGTGGAAGCACTAATCAGACAGACAGACCAGCCTCACCTACAGCTGCAGAAAGCGACGACACTCGGTCCTGGCTGCTCTCTGTGGCCACAGCCTGACTGAGGAAGAGGAGGAGGAGGTGGTGGCTACTGAGCAGCAAAGCAAACACCCAGAGCCCAGGCATAGCGAGCTCTGCACCCGGCCTCGACTGTCAGATCACACCCACCATCGGCTTATCCATTGGCCAAACTCTGCCTCACATCCTGTGTCAATTTCCACCCCTTCGCAATGTTACATCACCAGCCCTGCTCCAGCTTGGCAATTCAACCCATCTGAATTGTTTTATGTTAAATCCTTCCCCTAGCATTTTTTTGTTCTCTCTCTCTCTATCTCGCTTTCTTTAAGCTGTGGTGAGGGCTGGTCAGACAGCGGGGGAAAAAAAATAAATGTGCAAATAATAAATAATAATAACCCTTGCACTTGATACAGCGCTTTTCAAGTCTTCTAGACGTCTCAAAGCACTTCTTAGAATAGACTGTAAAGTGAATTGACCGTATATTTGTGGGCGAAAAGGTAGTAAAATAGCCCCGCAAGGGTTACCCAAGAGAATTAGCACCTCTTGATCAGTAAGAATGACAAAAGCACAAAGCCATCCCCATCTCCACGCATCGCGAAAGAAAAAAAAAGCTCTGTTTAGTGCAAGTTTAGATTTGCTTGAAAAAGTAAAATGTCTTTCAAGCAAAGTGATTGACTGACTATGGTCGAGACTGGTCAGGTAGAACTTGTAGAACTAATGTGTAGTGACTGGATTTGTAGGCAAACAAACAGTGTGCACAACAAATTAAACTGGAGGGAATTTTTTTTGGGGGGCCAGGACACAAGGTGAAAGAAACTCCCCCTCTCCTTTCTAACACTGTAGCTCTCATGGGATACTCAAAATCCATACAAACAGGTAGACAAGAACTTTGTTCAACATCTTATATGAAATATTGTTGGCGGTGAATCCACTGATATTGCAAATCTACCGCCCAAAGTCTGTCATTAACAGTACATTTTAAAACATAGTTTTTTTTCTGCAGCACCTACATTACTCTGGCTGAGCCATCACATTGGGTGCAATATTCCTGTTCAAATTCCTGGAGCCTGATCTGGTTTCACGAGAATTGCATGAAACACAGCCCAATTCGACAGGCACACAGCTTGTAAGACGGGTTAAAAGAGAACCAAAACCAACATAGTCACTGTCAAGCAAGACAGAGCAGCTACATACACACATACCTCTGCAGCACCCCCAAGAGGAAGGGGAAAATCTGTTCTAATTTTAAGTAAACATTTTACAAATTTAAGCTCAAGGAAAATGCTGCTGTGGAAACCGATTCAAGAGGAAATTTCATTTTTTTCCCCTATGTTCTTCCCTCACTTCAGGAGTACTCACAGTGATCTCATGTGCCAACGTTGACAAAAAATAGTATTGTATTTGAGAGCAGAACATGTAATTCTACACAGCTAAGATTCACATAATATATACTTGGGATGGATTTATTCTCAGCCCACCATTAAGTGCTGGTGCATTCAGGACAAAATGGTCACTTATCCAAGGAAATCATAGTTGTGGTTGCAAACCAAAGACTGGGTTTAGGAGAAAACAAAGTTGATGTTGGCACCGACACGAGACACCAACTTCCATTTGTCCTTATCTTTGCTAAGTAATCTATGTTTCTTTTAAAAACTAAAACCTAAACAAGTCAATTACTAATGCTGTACATAATAAGTCATTGCCTCCCTACCTTAATAATAATCCTTGCATTTGATAGAGCGTTTTCCATGTCTTCTAGACTCCTCAAAGCGCTTCACAGAACATATTGTAAAGTGAATTTACTGTATATTTGTGGGCAAAACACAGCAGCCAATTGTTTTCTGCGGGTCCAGGCGCAAGAACTTTGGGGTCTTTTTTTGTAATACGAGTCGAAATGATCTTTTTCAAATACAATATTGAAACGCTACTCTAACCTGAAGCAAATAAATTAACGTTGTATCTGTTGTGCCTTGCAAGGCAAAAGGATCTCAAAAGTGGCCACAAGAGGGTAGTAGGTAAATGAAACTCAACTACAAATAAGGAGGAAAGAGACTGAAGACCATATATGTTCAATGAACAGCGAATTGAGTTTACTGCAAATGTCCATTCATTGACACAAACGTTCTTCTTAAACCTGGTTATATTTAAGCATATACAGCCATGTACATTTCCAAATCAACAGCTCTAACAGAAATAAAGAGGCACACACTGACACATTAGATATGAATTCAATTTTTTTTAATAGATTCAAGTCAGGTACAAAATGAGTACGTTATACATTTATTCTGAATAAACATAGCTGAGGTTATTTCAAAGGCAACTGTCGTTTGCACGAAAATAATTTACTGAAATTGTAAACCAGCGGAATTGAACAGTAGCAAGTTCAATACCTGCATCCAAGCCATCGTTTGGAGCAGAAGTGTGCAAACCAGCGTGAATGCAAAACGCGTTTGTGAAAATATTATACAAATAATTTTTAAAAAAGCTATTAACATCACGTTGCATTTTTCTTCATTTTTTTTAATGAAAACAATTACAAGTTTCCCAACACCCACTGAATGCACAGCCTGTTCCTGGCCTATTTTATTAAGGCAATCATTTAGCTATCAAAGATGCAAAATCTGCAGTGTTGTTGAAATTGATCTTAAATGTTTTAAATCCCAATGGATGTCACTGCCCAAACTAATACTGCTCTGTACATATACTGTGCATGTATGGCTTCTTAAATTGGAAGAATCTGAGAAAACAAGCATCCAGTAAAAAAAAACAGTGCTCAATAGAGGAAAAATGTAGTAATTTCCTTCATGACTTATGCTCCTTGACTTTTCCTTTTAAAGGCACCAGTGTTTTTTTAAGCTTAGATCCAGGTTGGACAAAGTTGTTTCTAACAGGATCACATATTTACAGCAGTTACAAAAACAATCTGTGTTTGCAATGCATGCATTTCTCTTTATTAGAAAGGTGCCCATCTGCAGCAATCACCTTGCAATTCTAGTGGTTATAAGATCACTTAATTTCTCATCCTCTAGGCCTGAATGTGTGTCTACTTGATTTTTATGTAGTGTAAGTACTTAGGCAGTGTATGTAGGGAACATTTGACTATTACGCTATCTGAACAGATTTGCCTTTAACCTCACAAAGCAGAGATAAATGGTAAAGCAGCTCCAGAAGCAGTGTCACTTGTACATTTAACAATTATGATACTGTTTGGAAGCGAAGTACATTCCCCCTTCCTCCCATCCCATTAGAAGCCAGTCAATGACCAAACTCTCACCTTCAGTGTTCTGTTGACTTGCCTCAAAGGTCAGGTAAGTAATAAATTGCGACATACAATGAAGGCAGCACCAATTGTTTTACAGAGAAAATCGCTGATGTTTGGTCTAGATTGAGCAGCTTTAAATGTGCCAGGACAGTGCCAGCACGAGTCTAACCTCAGACGATGCCAGTCTGAAATGCTCGTTTCAATGGCATCTGCCCCACAGTGCACATCAGTGAAACACATCCTGAATTGCAATTTTACAACTGAAAAGAGCTCTTCCCCTCATAGAAACTGTGTCTCTAAGTACTGTATAGCAATGTCTACCCAGCCACATTCAGATTGAGTTGTGGTATAACCTGGCTCCGGGCCATTGCAAGTTAAAATATTCTGACAAATTCTCAACTTTTAAAAGTTCCGAACATCGCAAGTCTATGGCTGCTGTGAATTTTGGCGCTTGGAATATTGTAAATTCCAATTCTGCTCCATCCATTTGGCTTTAAAGGTTTCAAAGTGAAATGAAATGAACTAGACTAGAGTAGAGTACGGTAAAATAAAAATTTCAGTTTGATTACATCATGGTAAACGGTCACAGTTTCTACACCCTTTACAAACTTATTTACAAGCATTTCGATATGACATTTTCTTACAAGTTATAAACTCATGCTAGTTTAACTGGCACCAACAATTATAAAGGATGCACTAGCCTAACCTTCATATTAAAAAAAATCAGCAGGACTTGACTATACTTTATTTAATTCTCACATACTGGCATCTCTGCCCAGTTATTCATAGGTTTCCGTCTGCTTAAAGCAGGGATTATAATCGATTGGAACATTTTTGCTTGTATACATTTTAAAATTTCCTATATATTGGCTGAGGTTGTCAAGAGGTTGCCATGATGATGGGGAGGACATGTGCAATAAAACAAATCATTTTCTTCTCTTTCTATGCAGACTTGACAAGAAGTTAATGTTGTGGTGAATTCAGAGCTTTTCTATCTAGGGTGCGCACCACTCTGTCTGTGTAGGAAAATGTTCAAGGGTTTAGTGGAAAGTCTTTGCTCATTTGGCTCTTGTGCAGTCCTTTTTCCTCAGAGCCTACGAGTGCACAACCTTCATTAGGGGCACCTGGAGTTGCAATTGTACTCTGCCATCCAGAACAGCAATAGGCTTAACTCAGCTCAGGAGAGGGTGATTCTAAAGACTTTTTTTAGCAAAACTTTTGCATGTGCTCACTTCAGTTCTACAAGTGTTTTGCAGGTAAGCAAATTCACAAACTAGACAGAAGAAAGAAGCTGTGAGTGACAGAAGAAAAGAAGAAAGACTAAGAGAATGAAAGCGACTGAACCCAAACTGGTTTGCATTCCATGACATTTCTCATTCCATCTAAAATACTGTGATAGTTTTAAAATATGGCTTAGGCCATGTTCATTCCCTTTAAAGTTTTTAAAAACCAAGCATGTTAATATGCTTCCTTAATGCAGGTACAACTCTTCCACAATATATGGTAATACTTTTTTCCCCATCTTACAGGGTTTGGTAAACTGCTGTGATACAGATGTTAACAATACAGATTTATTTTACCACAAGGTAAATCAGGGCAGAATTATTCATGACTGGATTAGAAGATTGCTTTGATAGAGGCTGAACAGCATGGGGAGGTTAACGAGACCATGTATCTGCCATTTAGTAGGGTTACAAGTCTTCTCTCATCATCTCCACTTTCTCAGTTTCAACCGCGACTTCTTTATTTGGAAGCGAGTTCCCCTTCTCAGAGAGCAGCTGCCTCAATCGGTCGAGTTCATATTCGTGCAGAATCTTTTGCGTTAAATACTTCTCCCGTTTTATCCGGGCTTTCACCTCCTCTGGAACATCAGGGATTAGGGCAGCAATCGTGAACTTCACTACGAATACAACATGCTGGAACCCAAAAGAAAATCATCCGTTACTCACCATCACAAGTCTTCTGCAGAATAGAACAAATAGATGATAACCATCCTAGCTGGTAGGAAAGGCATTCAGGACACTATTTGCTTGTAAACTTTTACTATATAAAATACATATCATAATCTGATGCATTCTAGATCACCAATAAGTTTCTGGAAGACACATTTTTAAGCCCTGAATACCAGGGGAATAGGTGACCCATTGCTGCTGAGACCCCTTTGAAATTTAACAGAATATCCTTTAATCCCATCATATTCTCTCTGGCTCACCCCTTCCCATTTATCATCTGTTATTTTGTAGACATAAAAACAAATCTGGCTATTGTAATAATGTAACATTTGTCAATTAACATTCATCAGCGCGCTTTGTTTTTATGTTGGTTCTAGCTTGCTAAAGAATCTTACATCTGTTAATAATGACTAACACAAGTAAGAGGAGGAATGAGCTGTGAATTTGTCAGTCCTTCCTGCAAACAGGTGCCTTTTACATGAGGTTTTTGACATCTAGATTATGGGCAACACTTAGGCTGCATACCATGGGAAAGGCCTCCCCATAAGAATCTCAGATCAAAGCATTCCTTCAAAGAGCAGGTTCTCAATACCTCTAAGATGATAATGAATGCCATTTTTGCAGCCAAAATATGCCAGAATTGCATGTTGTGCTGGTGTTCCATACTGTGCCCTGATGGGTAACGGTAATCTTTATACCTGTAAAATTCAAGCCACAGTTAACACTTCTACATTTAGTTTCATGAACTGAAAGTTGAGCATCTTTCAAATACATTAATGGAAGCAAGTACAAATATCAGCTGACTTTCAAAAAGGATACATCTCCTAACCCAGTAATATTCTCCAGTTTCCGATGTTTCAAATAGCAACAAATTGTTTTTGTAATAAAAAATAATCCTTGCATTGTATAGTGCCTTTCACGTTGGGAGGAGGTCCCAAGGTTGGGGCAATGAGAAAAATAGTGGTCCCATTTCCGACTTAACCGTGGTTTGCAAGACAGCGCGCTCAGTTGCATTCATAACTACGTTTTAATCATTTTTTTAAAAAAAACCAAATGGCTGTTGTGTTCACTACAAAAAGCAGTTACTACACTTTACACTAAAGCCCGTAAAGCACATTGCGATGCCTTCTCTACATGAAGGGCGCTATAACATAAAGACTATCAAGTACTTTATAAAAGGTAGTTCCGGTCTTAGATGGGAAACTGCATTGAGAAAAGAGCACAAGGCATTACTATGATTCTTCGCTTTCATCCACTCTTTGTTCTCTCCATTTGGTTAACATCCCTGGTTATTTAACATCTTTTCAAAACTGGGTTTAGAACAGCAGGCTCTGGGTTTGACTCCTGCTAACTTCACTCAACCCTCCACTCCAAGTTGCAGAAAATGAGTAAAACAATGTTGTAAATGTTGTGGTGTGGGGTTGAGGCACATAGATACTGAACGTTCTTACCTACAATAAGATGTTTCATTAAAGCTATACGCCAGATTGCGGTCAAAATAGGAAGTGTTGAAGATGGACAAACTGTTGTTTATGTAGCCTTTCATTGGCTTCAGATCATCTTGGGAATATGCATATTTGTACACCAAGCGTGGGATCATATCCGAGGTAAACGCCACAATAAAAGCCTAAAAGGATTTTTAAACAAAAGAGAAATCATTAACAATACTAATACCACACATTCAAGTTATCGGTAAGAGTGGAAACTAAACCAGTTACTATGACAATTACAGAATCCATTATGCAATTGTTAATGTTTGCACACCCAAAATGCAACAATTTTCAAAACTTGAGCTTAAAGGATTTTTTTTCTCAAATCCAGTCAGTCCCAAGATCAGTGCTTTACCCATAGATACATATTTTCTTATTCACCATGGAAGATGATTGTTTTTACATTCAATTCTCTTGTATATACAACGGGCAGACAATGGAAATAATCATTGCTGACATCTTTAACCATCTGCCTGCTCATGAAGTGAAGAGCTCTCATAAACCAATGATGTGGTCGCATTGCTGGCAAAAAAAACCTGAAATGGATGAGGGGACCAAGGTACGCAGCACACCGAAACATTCCCGGTGTAATTGTTTTATTCTAAACACGTGGTGGCATAGGCTCAAACATAGCAGGACACTTACATTAGTAACCACGGATAATATGGCCACACTGTTGAGGATCTGCTGCCAGACGCCTATGCTGTGGGCCTTTGCTGCCGTAGGTCTCCTGAACTGTGTGATGAACTTCCAGGCATCCACTCGGATCTCAATGATGTTGTTGAGCAAAGCAAGGACAGGAGCCAGAGGGAACGAGGCCACGAAGAGGGTGACAAATCCGAACTGGATGACTGCAAATAATAATACCTGCGTTAGGTATTAGCGCTTTCATGTCAAGAAGAGTATCTCAAAGCACCTCACAGAATATAATGCAAAGTCTTGGGACTCTATCTTTGTAGGCCAACGGGGCAGCCCATTTGCGAACAGCATTGCAACGCACGCAACAGAAAGAAGCACAATCTTGCAACTGAAATCCTTTCGGTTCTTCGAAATAAGATCAAATGCTGAACATTGCGAAGCTGTATTAGGAGAACAGGATGTAACTTGTTCTCATTCAGAGTATCATTTTCTCGGTAAACCAGAAAAGACGGGGGTGGGGTGGGAAGAAGAGAACATCTTTCCAAAGTGTTATAAGACTCTGCATTTTAAAGATAGAGTTTAATAACATAGATACCTGGCCCATTTACCCATCAATCATACCCTTTAATGCTTTGTAACGAGAGGTTTGACTGAAGCCTACAGCTGAGAGCAATATGTGACTCTCTTCAAGTTGACCCGTGACTGCACCATGACTCACCCATTTCCAGATATTCATAGAACAGACCAAGCTGCCCCATGTCCTGCAAGTCATGGTCTTGTTCCCAGCGGCTGTACAGCCTCTCTGGGTGGTTTCTGGCTTTCCGACTCACCCACCAATTCTTCAGCCACCTGGAGAGGGGAAAAACAAATGAAGAAGTGCCACAGGCCACCACATGACATTTCTTATAAATAAGTCATATCATTAATAATGACAAATGGACCATTCAGGATACAAAATATTCAACAGAGGCCGGGCTGAAAATGAGACAGAGGGAGATCTAAAGAAATACTTTAGGTCCATCAATTTCTCTTACAAAACAATTGTATTGCTGCAGCTGCACATTGCATTAATCTGCATTATTATTTGGATCCTTTCTCACTTTGATTTTTCTAAAATCCAAATTTTGGGGACTGAATTTGAATTCTTCCCCAAATTAGTTCATGAAGAAATAATGTGTTTCTTGGGAGCGTGTTACATGAGAATCCCTTTGATGAAACTGAGGTACAGAGAATCATTGCTGCCCTGGCAGAAGTTTTTGTTCAGTCCTCAATTTATGAATTTTCTTACACAGAGGAAAGCTACATGTTCCTCTGAGTGCAGTCATTCATTAACCCCCACCCGTCAGACATTTATAACGACAACAACACCGGAACCATTTACTTACGGCAAAAGAGCTTCCTGGATATTGCCCCAGATCTGTTTGCCAGCCATAACGATGGTGAGCTGAGTAGTCAGTTCAATGAGACAACCACCCGAGTCACACTGGAGGAAATGGAACAGAGATCAAATGGCGCAAAGATAAACTTAAATTGCTTTTTCATCTCCTAACCTTTGAGATAGTTTGGGACTTCCTCTCTGCCTATGTGAAATAAACTTTTTATTAACCAATAAATCACTAAAATGGGTGCAATTGTGAATGGCCCATTTGCCAAGATGTATTTTGGAATATTTCAGTATCGTAATCAGTCATCATCTTTCCCGAGTCGTACAATTCACTGCTGTAATAGCACATCACAACCACTTGAGGTCACGCTCAGCTAAATAAAACCAAAGCACAACAATCTAAAATCAGATCACGTTGGAAAGTGTGTGGAGATAAGATATCCTTATAAAGGCATCCCCTCAGGAACCGTCATGTTTGGGCCCTGAATCTAATTCCGCAAAAGTAAAAGACTGAAAAGTAGCAATATTTTCTGGAGCGATTTATTTCAATGAAAAACAGAATCGATCTTAAGAAGGAATTTGGGAGCAAAGACAGTGGTCAAGAAAATATTTTTTGTCGTAATTCCTACCTCTTCATTTCTCCACCTCCCAAACATATAAGTGTAGTTGCTGGGGTATCCCACAAACTTGCCCTTAAAGAAGGCCACATAGAAGCAGGAGGAATAGTAGTTGACAAACTGGAAGAGGAACATTTTCATGGTCAGCCGGTTCTCGTACTCCAAGTGAGTCCTTGGGATTTCTGTTAAATCAAGAGCAGAGACAAGTGAGCTAAGATGTTTGATGTAGTTAATTGTTCGGCTCTGTAGATATTGAAGTCAAATGCAGTAAAAGAGAGAAAATAAAAGCAGAAAAAATATCAATGCTTTACCAAGGTCAGTGATCCAAACTGCCACCTTCTCGTAAAAGTAGTTGAGAATCATAATGATGACAAAGTTGAGACTCGAAGCCGTGATGGACGTTGCCATCTGGGGTGTAAAGAATGTGCCAATGTACTTCACCTTCTTCATATCGCCAGTGATCTTGGCAAAGGAGGCGTAGACCGACAGACGATAGACAATTACCGCAATAATGCAGATCAGGATTAAAGAAATCTGAAGAACAAAAAAATATCCTTTGGAGTTAGGTCAGAGTTTTGAAAGTTATAGCTCCAAACTCGTGAACCTGTCCTCCCTGCTGAACAACTGAGCAATTCAGAGGTCAGAGTCATTGTGATACAAAGTTTATAGGAGAGAAAAACGCTGGTTTCTCAAGAAGTAAAGCTAAACAAATACTATTCACCCTTTTAATGATTTAAGAACTGAATTTTGAAACTTACTCACCCAGAACAAAACTGTTGCCACTGACATACAGCAACGTATGGCTTGGGTTTTGAAGGGGATGTAAGGCTCCATTTCCTGAAATAGTTGAAATACATCACATCACACAGGGCACAAAAATCAGCCTCTTTAACCTGAACTCAGACCGCAATCAAAAAGTAGAACCTTTGTCACTCTCTCTCTCTCACACACACACACACACACACGCACACACAAGATACAATAAGCCTCTGATTAAGGTGACAAGGTTCAGCAGGGAAAGCCTTTGGAACAGACATGGGACGAGATCACAAAATAGTAAGTGACTATAAGCGATTCAGTTGCATCGTGATTCCAATCATGTTCGACGCATACATTGGATTTACGTCTCTCAGGCATTTGAAACATAGCTATAGATTCAGAATAGACAGGTTAAAGTTAAAGCTGCCTGTGCATGTAGTCCGAGCCTTTACCTGAGTGACGGGGTTTCTCCTGCGATGTGTACACCTGGCTTCGTATTCCGGTCGTAGTTGGAGCTGCTGCTGTTCTTCTTCAAAGTCTACCAGGTCCCACTCATACTCCAGCCTGGCCTGCCGTCGCTTCCACAGCTCCAGGAAGAGAGTCACTGGTCACAAGTAAGTAACAAATAGTCTGTATACCTTCTACGCAAAGCGGTCTCTAAGAGAGTTTCTCTCCTGCCCTGCAGAACCACAAGTGCTCAAGACTAACCCTACCAACTGAACAGAATTGAATTGCTGATACCAGCACTCATCCTCTCGCTGTGGCTGTTTCGAGAATGTAGGTCAAGTGGAGGCAATGTTTAAAGTTAACACTTTCCAAATACAATTTTGAAAAATACTCACCCCAGATACCCATAAAAATAGCAAAGAACAGGGTGGCACCATTGTCGAACAAGTAAGAATTCTGCAGGCACAAAGAGCAAGGGGTGTAAAGGATATTTTGTTTAGCAAATTATCAGGTGTCAAAGACAAACACCTCCCCCACCCACCCCAATGTTCAACACAAAAGACCTGTTAAGAGAGGGTGTGTAAGCAATGCATTATTGCAGGTTCAAATCTACTAACCTTGGTTGATCCACAGGTAGAATTGAGCCTCCAAAAGTTACATTCATCGCACAGTGGGCACATGATAATATTCCCTCCAATTGTTGCATTACAGATTTCATCACTGCAGGGGAAAATGTGTAATAAATTAACAAGTGAACTTACATTTTACACTATTTTTTTAAGATATTTTAAAAATATTTTCAGCTGAAAATCAGCAGGCTCTCAAGTTTAACATAATTAAGGAGGAAAGAGTAATTTAAAAAACGTATCTCAACTCCAGAGCAAGTCAATCAATCATGTGGCTAAATGAAACAATACTATTCTTCTAAGAACACAACTGATTAATTGCATCAATTTCATTCTGTGCTTGCAACCGGTTAAGGCTTTCACTTTTTCTTCTAATTTTCTCTCCGCTTCTCCTGAAGGCAGTGATTCACTTTGGGGTACAGTTGAATAGGATTGTTATTGTGATAAAACACTTTTCAATAACAATAAATCAAATGTCACATGGTTTAAGGCACAATTTTAAAAGATTGAGTGAATTGTAACAATTTATTTAGATAGCATCTTCCACAACACAGAACATCTCAAAGTGCTTCTCACAACCTATTGATTGGAAGCCTGAGTTTGGGGGTGGGATGGTGGGGAAAGCAAATGAAAGAAAGAAAAGTCAAAGAAATGAGCTCTGTGGTGGGTTTTGAAAGCGCAGAGTAAGGGAGCAAAGTGGAGGTGGAGGGGATCTGGGATGGAGTTCCAGAGAGCCTCTTACTAAAAACACAAGACTAAATGGTTATTCTTACCAAAGTGGCTGCAAAGTTAGCCTTCAGAAGTCATTGCACTTCAAGGTAACTCACTGCGTAAAATTAATTTTGAGTTGTGTCCAAACGGTAAGTCGCTGTATCAAATGGAGGCATTATTAGTTTTAGTGATTATTCAACCTTCATCAGAAAGCTTACCTCCAGACATTCCAATCTTTGGTGATGCAGCCAAACAAAAAGCAGATGAAGCCTACAGCACCTGCAATCCCCAACATTTCTGTGTAGAAGCCAAGCCAGGCAAAGTAAATTCCAATCTTCTCCCCATAATACTTCCTGAAACAAAATTAAAGAGTGAGGAGCAGTTTCTTTACAAGACAAGTAGAACATACACAGACTCAAATTCCTTGAGCAGAACAATCCAGGAAGCTCTTAATATTTCAGTGTCGACAGTCACCAGGCATTCCACTCGATTCAATTTCCAAATAACAATTTGATCTGGTTTGTAAATCAAAGAGGACAAAAATAGAACGGGAGAAAGGCAACCAAATAAAAACAAGTGTAATCGAATAGACAAAGCCAGAGAGAGACAGCAGGATAATGTTGTGGGAAGAACTTTAATGTGGTGGGTTGAACAGTACTGGTAGAAGCAGATTTTCAGCAGGAAATGGTGGTTCACTAGACAAGTGAATAAATGGATGAAATCTAAAGTCGAAGGCAAACTGGCCCAGAGCAAAGGGAAGCATTGAATAAGAGTGTTTTTAGAGGGTATGTCGTCAGCATGACCAGAACAGCTTCGGATTTTTAAAAAAAAATTTTTAGCGTCTTACTTGGACTCCATCTGGACGCTTGCGCATGACAACCGATCCAAACGCTCTCACCTGATGAGGTTCAATGGCTGCTCTTTGTAGAAGCGGCCAAAACGAGCCCACTGTTTGTATAGCGTGTATCGTTCGTTCTCACTTTTTGGGTCTCGAGCTTTCTTCCAGTATCTGCACTGCAGAGAAGGGACAGCGAACATAAAATGATGTAAACACAGCAAACAAAAGTGCTGCAATTACACAAAGTCAGTGAAAGAGCAAATCCTGAATGTATCCCATGCCTTGAAGGAGATTGCAGTGCAACAAATGCAGTCTAAAGCTCTTTCACTTCAGACAAAAGCATTATTGGTGGAGATAAGTGGACAACACAGGATATCATAACATGATATATATACACTGGTTTGCATGTGTTCTGAAATGTAATACAGTACAAAGGAAAAATGGTCATTTAAATTATATTGGCTATATTTGCAATTAGAGTAGGCGGCTAAAGGCTGTACATTTCAGTGGCAGAGATGGTTACTGTGAAATTGCTTTCATAATGTACCAAATTTTTATTCAGTAATGAAGTTTCCTCTTAAGAGAGAGCATTACAGCTATATATTAGGGGTCACAATCCGGCTGTTATTCATCTCTGTAATGATGGTGCTGGACTGTACTCATAGAAATACAACATTCAGTAACACTAAGCAAATTTAGGACAGGGTAATCTCATCTAAACCAATGACTCCAAGATGAACAATAAAAGATTTTCTATGAGTACATACAAGGCACAATATATTAAAATGATATAAAAAGGGCCTTTCCATTTTCCAAAACTGAAATACTATTCTTGCTGAACCACTGTAATAACAAACATTGCCAACCACTCTGTCATGTGATCAGTTGGGTTTCCGGCAGTGATATTTGTGTCTTACTTAACCACAAGAGCAACAAACACTCACATTGAATATGATGAATATCCCCACTTGCGTAGAAATGGATGAAACTAGCTCAGGATGCCTTGCAATGTCCAAACCTTTTATGGAACTGGTACAAGTGATATCTGTGCTAAGTAATGAACTCAGAGCAGCTAGGTTAAATAACCATGCGACGGTGTGGTATTAGTACAATGTTGGGTTTGGCAACAGAAACACAGACAATATGCAGCATACTGTATGTACTTAACATGGACTCAGAATGAAGTACACTAAATATGGGAGGGTTCAGCAAGTAGGGTACGTACGTCATGGAGAGGAAATGCAGAAGTGTACGTGTTATTGTTCTGCAGCCTCTTGATCCCAAATTTCTGCTTCCCTTCTTCTGTTGCATATTTACACCGAGAAAGAATGTAATACACCTGGAACAATCAGCACAGAAGAGCAGCACTGCATAAATACGAGCATTGATCAATGTTTCACACAATTACTGTGCCAATGATCATATAAGGAAACAACTTGATCTCTTATACAGCAAGGGGATTTAGTAAATAAAAGTAAAGTGTTGCACTTTTAGAAATTAGAGGCACTCCATAGGTGCAAGCTGTTGTGGACGAAAGCCATGGGTCACTCAACTGTCAAAAAGGAAGCTACTTGCGTACAACAGGTTTTGTAAGCGCTTTCCAATCGCAGAAGATACTGTGGATGAGGTTATCCTTTACTTGCCAAAAGTCTAATACTTCTACTGTTATTTGGGATAGGGAGCAAATATAATTTGCATAATAGCCAAAGTCAACTTTCAGATGGGATCTGTATGAGTTGCATCCCTTGGAGACTGCATACAAGTGTAAAACCAATCATAGACTGAAACGCCAGAGATTGTTTTGTGTATGATTGACTATCTTATCAGTAAGGGTCAGATTGATTGGGAGTCCAGATAAGCAGATAGGTAAGCGGACAACAAAACGGTCTGTATCAGCCTGTATAGGCTGGCTACAGACGTACAAGATAAAACACAGATCATTCTGAGAGTGTGTTTTGACAAGATAATGTGCAATTGCGAAAAAAACCTTGCATTCCAAAACACCAGAGGCAGCAGAATGCAAATGTACAGGAAATTAAGTGTATGCTCTCACCTCACCTTGACGAAAAATTGCAATGTGAGATATATATATATATTATACAACAAAAAAAAAGGGCTGTACTTACGATTCGGTTGCGTGTGGAGGGAGAGAAAAAAGTCTCCCGATCGCCGATTAAGAAGAGCTCCTGCCGCTGTTTACTGAAAGGGGCCGTGAAATAATCCGGTTCAGGGTTCATGATATCCATTTCCAGTTGAAATGGTTTCAGGAACCAATCGAACGGATTATCTCCGGCTGGTGATATGTCATTTGCCCTAATTGGCACCTTGATATGCAGAACCTCCGCGTAGGTAGCAAGCACGTCCCACGGAGCGTGGATCTTGACAAAGTACGTCTTGCCATCCTCCGATTCCTAGAAAATATAGTTCTATCAATCTGGACTGTCAGATTTCAGGCAACCTCTCGCGCAATCCTCTTTGGCCGAGAGTGAAAGTGGAACCGACACTATTTTGCCTGGAGAATAGTGATAGTGCAACTGCTCCTTGTTCTGTTTTTACTAAAGGCATCTTCCAGTATTGTGCGCAGGAGCAACCAGGCAGCAAAACTCCTTTCCTTTAGCCCACTGATCACCCAACGCGGAATGGTGTAATCTCCGCAGAAGAAAGAGGAAAAGCCAATGGAGACATGGATTCAAACTCAACTATCCTTGTCAGGAGCGCAGCTGTAACTTTGTACTCAACAGGCTTCCACCACTTTCCGATGCATTTAAAAGCTGGATTCTGTGGTTTCTTGTTTTTACTTAATTGAGTAACTTGCACCCGAAATATCACCAACTGTATACATTTGGCAAGAACGTGTAGAATATAAAACAGTGAACCTATTTGATTAACTTGAGAAAAGTGTGCAAAGCATTAAAAATGTAGAGGGGGCTGTGATCAGGCTGCACAGCTAAAGATTTAGATAGTTGAAAGATTGCCTGGACATTTGGGTGTCACTTACGTCTTTACTTTCAGTTTCGAGATCAAGTCCTGCCTTCGCCAGATTTTCTTCAAAATCTCGTCTTCTTTCCTGAAGAGGTGAATGTTAGAGAATACATCAGTCGCTGACATCTAAAGCTGATAGCAACTGAAAGCTGAACCTAACCTCTCCTCCCCATTCTACTGCCAATCATCCTGTGCTCTTGAACCCATCTTGTAAAGGGCTATGAAAACATTGACCGGAACAGAAAGGGTTACCACCCATTGAATGAACTAGCTATATAGAAGACATCAGAGCAGCTACTGTATACAGGACACGTCAATGTGCTTCCAACTTCAGACAGCAAAATGGGAAACCTCAGAGTATTGGTTTTAGAGCCTAAATTTGCAACATTGCAGACACTTTACTTATCTTAATTAGCACAAGAAATGCATTACCACACATTGCAAAATTTGGCCCTCTGTTGCTCACGTTACCTGCAAACGACCACAACAGTTTCCTGTTCTAAAGCAGGGCTTACAGCACACTGCAGGGCTTTCATAAATGATTAATCCACAAGGAATTTTAAATTATTAATCTCGAGGGGGAGTTCCCTTTTAAAAACAACAACAAAAGCACAAAAGTTCAACACCTAATTAGAAAAAAAATCCTCCCATACTTTTGAGAGAGCTCTTTGTTGCGTGAGCATGTGCCAGGCCAGGACTTTACAAATATTATCTTAGGACGTCCTCCCGACATGAAAGACACTACATAAACATAAATTTGTGTTGGACAGGAAACCCTTGGATGATCCCTCACTAACAGGAGTCCAAGAACGATCAGAGAATTGTTTCAGTAAAAGTAATGCAATTCTAAAATCAGACAAAAGCAGCAGATAAAAGCGTTACTAAGTAAAAGCACCACTGTTGAAGCCATAGATGCAATTTAATTTATGTAACAGGTGGGCATTTAAGAAGCAAAGCGGATTAAAGTGCACTCTTGTTCAAGCATGATTATTAATTTAGTGACAGCCTAGTTAATAAGTTGATCCAAAAAAACCTGGAGCATTACATTAATGTTTGTAATACGCATGCAGATTACAAACTGGTAAAATGCTGCCAGACTACATCTAATATTGATGGTCCAGTCACACAATGCTACACTTTAGATTGATCAGCTTCACCCTCAAAATACTTGTATTGCCCAGCTTCACCTACATAGCTGCTGGCTCAAGGTTTTCTGCTTGAAGTCTACACTTGAATGTTAATATATGTGCCACAAGTGAATTTTAAACAAGCATTAATCATACGCTAGATACTGTAAACGGTAACAAACCTATAGTAAATCTCAGTTATGTGTTATGCTACAATATAAACTATAGCCTTAGCTGCAACCGGCAAATAGGTACTGAATATCTTAGCAGCATTTTCTACTGACTAGACATTACCAGAACTCTCGCATCAGTCTCCAGCCATCTCCCTTAACAGTTTTTCCTCCTCAATCTTTCCTACTTGCCCCACCTCTCTGCAGCTTGCAGCCGTGTTCAGCCATAATCAAAAGGCCACCAGACGGCAGTGTCCAAAGAGCAATCCGACAAGGCCAACATAAACCGGCCAAAATAATGTAGCAACATTTTTTTTGCCAAACACCATGAAAAAGTCCACAATAGTTTATAGTTGTCTAATATTAACTGCATCCGTGCATATCAGCTAGAGATGATATCAAGAGCACATCTTAATTTGTTACTTTAAACAGTGAGTTAGTTAAAGAAACAAGGATGGAAGACATGAATTTTAAATCTCATTTTAAAATCACGTGTGAAAGAAAACAAATTGAACTCAGATGAGAGCAGTTCCTAATAGCGAAACTGATCCTGGCTCATCAGTATACAAGGGACTGGATGAAAACAATCCTTCAACCTGCATAGAGCATATTATTATATTATTATTAGAGCAAGAGACACAAGAGATTCCATTAGCAACATGACAGTAATGGCAGTGTTAAGCAAACACACAAGATAGCCGCTCAGAGATAGATAACCATATCACTGTATAGCTGGTATATAATTAATCCTTGCAAAACGTGAAGTAAGCAAATTCCTACCACTTTCTTTTCTGCTTCTTTACTAAGATCATCCACGTAGGAGAGGATAAAGTCAATCCTTCGGATTCCATCCCGGAAGAAGATTGAATCTTTGCTGTGAATTTCTCTGTTAATCTGTGGAACAAGCGAGAATTATGATGGAAAAGCTGGCGAGTAGTCCTGGGTTGGACTGCAGCACTTTCATTCAGTATCAAAACATTCTCACAGGACAGAGCAAGATGTGTGTTTACTTCTACAAGCCAAACAATACAGAGTCAACCACTGCTCACAGACATGCATACTTATGCAGCAACACAACAGTGCATATCTGGATCTGCTCCAGAGTAAATGGGCTCAGTCCTGTCTAAACAGCATGCCGGACACAACACTGGATTCTTCATTGCATTCAATTGCAGTCTGCCATGAATAAATTGAAGCATGGAGTACAATATGGCCTTTCTTGCTTAACAAAACTACTACAATGCTGTACTCTTTGTTGCCGGAGATATTTCTCAGCATAAGATTCTAAATCACCACATTGAGAACACAATCTCCTAAGGTATTCAAAGTAATTTTTAACTTCTTATTGCTCTGTTCTAAAAGGTCAGATATTATAACCCAGTCAAGGTAACAAGATACCTCGGCCTATACCCTTCTATTGTGCTCTATTGCATTGGGGTGGGAAATAATAATAATAAATAATAAACCTTGCATTTGATATGACGCCTTATCACATCTTCGAGACGTCTCAAAGCGCTTCACTGAATATACTGTTAAGTGAATTCACTGTATATTTTGTTGGGGGAATGAGCAACATTGACCCCATGATAGACCAGGAACTAACCATCTGGATATACTCTTCTTCTACTCCCCAATATGCAGTACTTGACTGAAAATTCAAAATTCCATTCACTCCAGACTCACAGGATACATCAGAGGTAGTTAACACAAGTGGTTAATAATGTCGCTTTATTCTCCCGCATGCCACACATTAAACCCGACAAACACAGAACAAATTTGCCAAGAAATATGATCGCTGGCTAAAGGACTGCATTGAAGAGGCGTGTGTGGACAGACAGCTTAATGTACATTTCTGCCCAGGTCAGGTCATTTCAATACTGCTGCCGGAATCACGTCTAGTGCAGTAAAAGAGCTTGGAAAAGCCATCCAGTACTTAAAACAATACATTAAATACAAAACATTAACACACGTCCATTTTTACTTGCTGTGTGGAATGCAGAAGATATTTCTGTCCAAACTAAAAGTTTGAACTTGACTACATTTTTCCTTCAGCGTCACCAACAGATTTTTTTTATTACAAAGTATGGTCATTACATGCTGGCTTTTTTTTAACAAAATAACGGATGTTTAATGAATGATCAACTCTACCGTCATGTTGCCCTGAGAGAAGTGCAATCACATAGCAGCACCTTTAAGCTTGTCCTTGCTGTACACACTGCCAAATGCTGCAATCTATGCTTTTCCACAGACCCTACCCAGACAGCAGTGACGCAGCTAAAGAGGCTGGATTCGATCCCAGTGCTCTGAGTGCTGCATAAAGCATCAGACAGGCCTTGCCAAAAAAAACCATAGTGGTGGAAGCAGAGTCCATGATAGCTTTTATAAAGGGATCAGAGAAATATCTGCAAATAAAAAGGGATTCTGATATTCTTCTCCATAAGAATTCCCCAAAACACAATCAGAATTTCAACATATATATACACACACAAATATATTATATATATACACACACACAATTAAATTGGTCACTCAAACCACGACTGTTTGTTGGACGCTGCTGTGCACAATTGACTGCCACGTTTCGCCCACAAAACATCGTCAATTTATTTTACTGTATATTCTGTGAAGCGATTTGAGACATCTCAAAGATGCGATAAGACACTATATCAAATGCAAGGATTATTATTATTGTTGTTCTTTTTGAGCATTACAACTACTAAAATGCACGCACTTGCATATTGTTCTGAGCTTTAGCAAGCAACAGCGCAGTACCTCGGGAGAATCAGGTTGTCAGCTGGAGTCAAAGTAGACCGATCACAAGATCTCGACACTCTCTGGACTTCCATACCAAAGACTCCTGTCTTTACCTTTTGCTTAGCCTTTAGTCTCAGCACAGGAAGCAGTTTCAGCTAGCTGTCCATCTCGTCTACTCAGTATTTCTAGGTGTTATTTACTTAAGCATAAAACTAGTTTCTTGCTTATCTTGGCAGTTTGTCTTCCTAAGAATTATCTGATTAAGTGGTTCTTTTTTTAAGAAGTTTCCTATTTAAGCATGGCCTAGTTTGCTGCTTTCAACCTTATGCTTTTAATTTGCGTCTTTTAACATGTCATCTCGGCTCTTTATCAATGTCCATGGCCTCTGACAGATCCAGCACTTTACTGCTTGCTCTTTTTTTAAATTTATTTATCTACCTGAGCCTTCATACATGGTTAGATGGCCTACCATCCTCATTACAGGGGACTAACCAATAGCTCTTGCAGAGAGCTGGCACAGGCACAATGAACTTCTGTGCTGAAAAATTCTATAATTCTGTAGAAAACAGCAGCAGTAATCATTTTTCCCTTAGATATATCAGATGCAAACACCGAGTCAGAATACATTTTAACACGGTGGTTTGGGTCCATAAAATTTAGACCCCTACATTAGAACAGGTCAAATTATTTTTTAAAAAGCCACCAGTCATGGCATTAATTATTACTTATTATTAATTATACCAGTTCACTTCTGGCCTACAGCGCATACACACAGAAGGCTGGTGGTCAAAGGCAAGTGCTCTATTGAGCATTTCTAGCAGTCGCTGGGGAGGCTCCTACCACTGGGAGGCTTTCTGTGCCTGTGAACCAGAAGTGTACTGGGCTATTGATATGGAAAATGTCATAGTCTTTATAAATGGACACAAGGTATACCGAAGCTGGACCGTATATTGTAACAGAGGTAATCATCATATTACAGAATAGACGTATGTACGTATAACATCACTAATTTTGCAGCTAAATACTGTATTACTTTCTGTGCATTTGGCCAGAGCCTTCATCTGCTCAGATGTTCCAGTAGGGAATTTAAACAAACGCATACTATTCCTGGACACATTCCAACGGCCTACGGATAACTCAATTCAGAAGCAGTTGCATTGCATACACTGCAGTTACTGTGTCGACCTCTCTCTTGACCTGCAATACTTTACCCTGCCTTTGGCCTAACCATCACTGAGCTGCTGTTACTGCTGCCATCTGTGCTCGGAAGGAAACTGTACCCGAGATGGGTACCATGGAAACAGTGAGTCAGCAACACAGCCATTACAGAGAGCAAATCCTGAAGCAAAATGAGTCAGACGTTTTTTTTTGACCATAGATAGCATTTTCTAAGTCTTTAGGAAATACCGTTGGAATGAGTAATCCTCACCCACTGTAAACGAATACGTGATTTATACACAAATCCCCATATTTTTTAAAAAAAGTATTGTTTATCCCTTCACAAGTATCAGCTTATCCCTTAACCTCCCCACCCCATAACTTTACCCTGCCAGGAAAAATCATCACCGGTAATCTGAGCTGTAGTCACTGCTCTCTAACCCAGGCCTGGTTAAAAATGACAGTCTGCAGCAGAATGCCATTTTATTACCCATTCTGCAAACAGTCCTGACCACCATCTATCATTCCTTGACCTCTCCATTTGAATAACTATTTAACTCTTACTGACCCACTGGTTATAACTGTACATGGATATCGTTGAGTGAATCACAAAGTAGCTGTCCCACTATAGAGCTCAGGGGCCTTCTAAAGCAAACATCTTTGAGATGTCCACCCTTATGTGAAAGCCCTGCACACAGCTGACAAAAGCTCAAGCCCTCAGGAAGAGTGTGTGGTGAGAAAATAGCTGAGAAGGATAGGGTGGGACAAAGCACATTTGAAAAGATAGAAAGAAGGGAGGGACTCCAGAGTGGAGTGAGTGTGAGGTAGAGGGAATTGAACATGGGAATAAGGATCTTGAATTCAATCCGGGGGTGGTTGGGGGGCCGGTGGAGCTGAGCGAAGATGGGAGGCAAGAGGCTTATGGAGCCTGGTGCTGGAGCAGACATGGGCTGCAGAGATCTGGATGGTTTGCAGCTTGTATAGAGAGGAGCAAATTGGGCACTGAAATAATTAAGCTCAAGATTTCTCTGCCTCACAACCTCCCCCAGTTTTCAAAACCCTGCTAAGAATCTATCATTGACTGCATTATTGGTCATCTCTCTCCTATCCCCCCAACCTTGCTCAGGCTCCCACTCAGACTCTGTGAAGCACTTTCTGACACTGTTCTACACTAAGTTCTACACGGTTCTATTCAAGTCAAAATTGTTGTTGGCGTATGTCCAGATTGAAATAGATACAGTAATTGTAACTGTATAAGAGTTCAGGCTGTTATTTATTCTCCTCATATTTTACACGATTTAAAAAATGACAGACTACATTGTAAAGATACCACTGATCACATTTCCAAATTCAGAGGCAGGTGTCAGCATAGACAATAAGTAACAAGTCATTCAACAGTTTTCGGTAAAGATAGATAAACACGGTGTCCAATATCTTACTGTAACTGAGTAAATTAACCATGACAAATATCCTATGGAAAATCCAAATTACCACTGCGTCAGTGACTCACGCAACGATGGAGTTACAGACAAAAGCAACAATCATTGTCGTTGCGCGATGAAAGCCTCATACAATTTTGTGTTTATCTATTGCATGAAGGGAGGCGAGTACCTTTAAACCCTTTTCAAATTAGCTTTCAAGAGTGATAGCCCAGGGCTCTTTTGAAACACCAACAAATATGCTCCTCCTCACCAAGCAGAATTAGGGAATCAAAAAGGGAGTGGCATGTGCGTGGCGAATTTAAAATAGAACTGACACATGCATTTCTTTGCCTCACTTAACACCGCACAGCTGCTGGACGAACATTTGCCTTCCAGCAACCTTCAGGAGGCAAAGCGTCAATGGCTTCCCTGACCATCAACAGACCAGAGTGTTGTTCAATTCTTCAATACTTGCACAGAATCCCAGGATATTAACCAAATATCCAACATCGCAGCACCGCTGGAATCCTCATTTCACTTACCGCTTACCCTACCAGGAGCTGATCGATGTGACTGCAATTGCTACAGAGTATGAACCATTAAATCTAGAATACGTGAAAGGTGCAATGTCAAATGCAAGGATTATTATTATTATTAAGACCAGGGAAAATCCTATCCTTACACAATGGGTGGAATGGATCACATAGCATACATAAGTTTATAAGCCACTTATAAGTTGAATCATACCTTAAGAGTTTTAAAATGTATCACACAGCTGCTAAATGCAAACTATTAAACTATACAATGAAAGTGCTGAGACATGGGTTAGCCATTTCAGTATAATAAACAGGATCTACACAAAAATGTACACAACTGCATCAGTGATAAGGTAAAGCTCCAAACCACATCTCCAATAATGAAAGTCCTCACCCTTCACGCCACATTCCACGCCCGAGTTGTTCCCTTTTGTCATATCAAAGGAAGAAGAGGTCAATATGGGAAAAAGATAGGAACATGACAACCAGCATTGAAAGAACCAAACCACCGCTGCGGATATCTGAGTGGAAAGTTATTGCTCTCATTTTTTGAAGAGATACGTCAGCTTCGGGATCTTGCGATATGTTGCAAACTTCTGTATTAAACTTCTTCCTCCTTTGATGAGAAGCGTTTTTTTTTGCTGAAGAACTTGGAAACAGAATGTGGCGTAAAAAATTCCATTTATGGATTGGTTATTTGAAGATTCCCCTAATCAGTGTCATATTACAGCAGCTGTATCCTGTTTGCCTTAACCACACTAAAAAGCCACATAAATAGAAGTTTCCGAAGTGTTCTTTTTTTTGGTCAGCCGGGTGTCTGATACATGTGGAAACCTATCACCGTGCTTAAGAATATCCAAATCAAATAGTTCCATGCATCTCACCTTACATTGACATTCCAGAGACAGATTGTTGGAAGGAAATGTGCAAGCACCCTGGAGGGATGTATCCTGCTTACCTAATTCTGGAAAGTATTAGGCACAGGTTGGCAAGAGTCAACGCTTAGGGCCCCCTGCGTGTGTGTTAGGGCAATGTTGGAGTCTAACCAGCTTAAACCACATAGCTTGCCATTGAGAGCTCCGTCTGGCAAGACTATTTTCTTTGAATCACTGAAAGAGGTGATACGCTGCATTATAAACCAGCGAGGTTTGTTCAATCTCCATTGTATTGATATAAGTGTAGAAATAAAATTAAGAATACAAAAGCTGGCACTCAACATCATTGGGAAGTAAGATAGATAATGCTGTGTTCCCAGCCAAACCCTTTCATGTTGGAACAGTACAGTGACAGGAGTCATTAGAAAAAAAGACTGCAATCCCTGGGGAAGGTACATAAAAGCAATCATGTTTAAATTTATAGCGTCGCATGTATAGTAGTCAACCAGATGGACAAACAATCACAACTGAGCCTGGTGATCTGATTGAGTCATTAATAGAGTAATTGTATATTTCAGTATGTAAATACATACCTGGGCTACTGAGGCTAGGCTAAACAAAATAATGTTAAAAAAAAACGACTTCATCACTCAATCCATGACTGTTTGTAGGACACTGCTGTGCGCAATTGGTTGCCGTGTTTCACCCACAAAATATACAGTCAATTCACTTTACAGGTACATAGCACTGTAAAGTGCTTTGAGATGTCTCAAAAATGTGATAAGGCACTATATCAAATGCAAGTATTATTAATTATTATAAAAGAGACATCTTTCGCGTAACGACTCTCTCACTTTCTCAGAACATTTACCCGTTCTAAGAAAATGGGGAACATTCTCATTATTACCCACTGACTGGAATAAATGTGATAGAAGACAACAGATAGAAATTTAGATAGAGGAGGGAGACCTTGTTAGATGAGCTTTTTAAAAAAAGTCCTAGTACATTCAACCAATGCTGACCAAATTTTAAATTATTGGGATTGTACATCCAAATTAATCTATTACAGCACTTCGACTGTGCTAGTGAGCAGCAGCTAAGTCTGCATGTGGACAATCTGCGGGGAGGGAGAGAAATAGAGAGAAGGGTCTCAACTTATTTTAATTACAAACTTGTGTTGTTAAATCAGGTCTTGCTGAACCCTTATATCTCCCCTTTCGCTCCAAACCACTACAATATTTCCAATTTGAATCATTTGAACAATCTTGATTCCACGCCCACCCGCAGTTTGGAGCTATAGAATAACATCATCTATTTTACTCGGTTCAGAATCGCCAGAGTGCTGCCATATGAAATGAACCAGATGGACATTGGTTGTGAGGCTGCCACAGACTGTCTGACATTTTACACATGGCCTGATGTCATTTCCAAGGCAATTTGGCAATTTCCATCTTTTAAAAACGAAATCAAAGCCACAACTAATGGAGCCCAATTAAACTTTTCTGAAAACGTAATGGATCAAAATCCGACTGAGACTTGAAGTTATTTCAGCTCAACTGTATACATTGAGCCAATCCAGTCAGTCAGGCAGCTAAAGTGTGCATCATAGGAAGCCAGGCCCTTTTAGATTAAATTTTAGATTCTGCTCCCATTCACAGTCAGGGCAAGTAAAAGTAACGGGTTTTCCACCTTCACGTAACTGTGCTACCACTGAAAATGGATGCATCTCACCATATAACTTTCACATAGTAGAACATCTAATTATGGAGCTTTGATTTGATTTTAAATTCCTACCTTGTACAAGCTCACTGCCTGTAATGCTGCCTGCTCACAGCACAATATTGATGAGCATCCTTGAGCATGCACCCTGAGTTACTGCAATGTTATTTTGCGCACACACACACACTTTCGCAAACCAAAAATAAAGCACATTTACTCTCGAAACGCTCCACATGCAAACATGCTGGCTTTCTGGTGATTCCCCAAAATAACTGTTGTATGCAAAAATAACTTCAAGGTCGGGTTTCATCAACACACACTGTGTACTTCAGTCCAATTTCCCTACGGAAAACAGTGACCATTAAAAGCTAAAAAGACTGTCATAAGTCAATTTTGGCACCGCCATAATAGAAGCCCTGATAAAGCAAAACAATCGCAGTTTTGAACATGCGGATACTGCAGTTCTGAAATCCAAGGAACCACTCCCACCATTTCAAAGTCTGATCTGAAATGCACGTCACAATGTGAAGGCAACTTTTGCGACAGAAGGACATACTGGTAATTTGGGATTAAGTAGCGCAACAGCTGCGAATGCAGCTCCCTTCACACACACAGACACAAACTTCACACTGCACAACCTCCAATCAATCCAAAGCAAAAGCAATGCAAATGAACTACTAATAAAAAGATATTGGTTTACCCACATTCCACTAATTAGTCAGTACATAAATACAGGATAGGTTTGCAATTAGAGTAGAGCAGTTTAACACAGGCCTGTCTGAATAACGAACTTATTCTTTAATTTGCCCCTCTTTAATGCTGTATTTTCCATTTCCCCAATATCCAACAAGAACACATTGCATTTATATAGCGCCTTTCACCTTAGGAGGACGTCCCGATACTAAAGCAAAGACGAGTCCTTTTCTGACTTAACAAAAAAAATCAAGTCAATTTCTAGAAAGAATTAACAAACACTCTGAAATCCCCAGACTTGTGGGGAAAAAATTCCCCCAAAACATACTAGTGTCAACCAAACTGAGCTCCAGGTTAGAAAGCCAATGAGTTAATAAATTCTTTTGGGAATCAGCCCATTAAAAAATGAAGCCAAAGTTTGTGCGTTACAAGATACAATAGTGCTATGCACTAGGAGTTGCTGCAGCCTCCAAGCCATAGTAACACAGAGAGCTTTGCCATACGGTACCCTGACACGGTTTTCCAAGAAAAGTTTCTGTTTTCTCCGCATCTGTGAAGTAACCACCAAAAAAAGTAACAATAGTGCAGTACTGATAGTGAGTCACATGTCTGTATAATAGCCCATCACCCATTGCATAACACTTACTGCATCAGAAAGCAGAGGTGTCACAGTCCATGGTGTCTGTGGGGTACCCAACCAAAGGGTCAAGGTGGTGGTATATTTGAATCGCAGCCCAGGCTAATGCTTAAGCCATCCATTTTCAAGGAGCATGGATCACCATCACAAACTCTCTCACCCATTTAACTTTGGGGGCGCGAAGGGGTAAGAAAATCAGCATAAAAGAGTTCTGAGCCTCATAAAAAGACATCATGCAAAACTCCTGAATATTCATCCATGCTCGCAGCTATATTATTCAACCCTCAGATGTCCAAACCTGCCCAATCCTCTCCCAACGAAGCGCATCTCTCCCCAATCTATTCAGACAAAAAGAAAATGTTTGGGCTGCTATGATTTGACCTGGGAATAGAGAATGCTTAATGCTGACAGCAAACACAGTGTATTAATTTCTTAGCAAGACACAATACTGCACAGCACACAATTAAACACACAGCTGGAAAAAACAATGTTATTTGAAATATGTGTTAAAAAAGTAGAGTAACTGACTATTATGCATGTATAATTCCACAGAGCATACTAATAGCAAGACGGGGCTTGAATACCACAGTGTTATCAATCTTCCAAGTTCTAATCACTAGGGAAGAGTTGAAAATTATTTTGAAATTTCCTATAATAAGTGATTCATTGCTCAAGGATCACATTATGAGACATACCAAAACAATTCACTAAAACCAGGACTCCACCAGTGTTTAAGACTCAAATTATTCTACTCTTTTTAAAAAAAAAACATTTTATTTTCTTTCCTACCTTTCCCCTCTCCAAGTGGAACACAAGACTGGAATCATGTCCACTAACCTCCATCACCTCTACTCTTCAATTGAAAGCTACCCAGGCCTTGAATCTTACAGTGCCTTGAGACGTCCTTCCGAAGTGAAAGATACTATATAAATGCAATCTATTGTTGTTGAATCTGAGCTCCACACCCCCTTCCTTCTATACAAAGTGGCTGACTTGCCATAGTAAACTGGTCAAGATTTAAGGAACCAGTGTATGAAGCCATATGCAATTCTGTAACTTTAAAACCCCAATGGATATCCTCCAATAAGATTCTTTTTAAATTTCGACAACAGACATTGAATGGACTCTCAAAATTCTTTGCAAACGTTCTTCCCCAAATAGAGCTGGTGCAATTCTACAAAGTCCAGTGAATATTCTAAGCATCACAAGCTCCTGCACTGACCTGCATACTGCATGAAGCTGGGTGGAAATCACTTGCCTGGTGCCTGGTTTACCTGCTTTAACAAGAAGCACTAAATGGTCAATTACTACCATTCAGGAAGGAGCAACACATTTGATAACAAATTCTAAAACAAACCTTGTCATCCTGATTAATTGACAATAACAAAAATGCTTATTTGCTTAAACGCTGATTTAGGGAGATAATGAGATAAAACAGCAACTGTTGCAATGGTAGAATTAAGGGGTGAAATTATGAGATTTATATTGCCGTGTTTTTTATGACAACCGTCAAAGTATCTGACTCCTCGCCTTTGCTTGCTGATGGCATTGTCTTTTTACAATCACCAGATTCAGCCATCTTCAGGGTCCTCTACTAGGTTTCGGACCAATTGGTGCGCTGGTAAACACTCACTTATTCCCTTGCCCTCCCCGGCCAGGCAGCCTCCAGCCCCCAACACAGGGCAGAGCAACACAAAGCACTTTTCCTCCAGTTGCAGAAGTCTACCTCAATTGGGATCCGAGTCGCTTCTACAAACCTTGGATCTTTCTCCAATTTTTCCCCTTTCCTCTGTCTCTCTTGCACACACACACACACACATACATACACAGTTCTCTACAATATAAGACTCTCCCATTCCCTCCCGGCTGCTAGTCAATATGATTTGGCTCCGATTCTATTGCAAGTGAAAATAATAGCGAAGGTGTATTTCAATTATGAATGCTACAAAGGAAATGTTACTTTAATGTCCACTGGCTGGGTGCCCTGGTAGCATTAGTGTGTTCTAAGATACTTAGCTTTGGCCTTGATGAGATGGCAGTAGCACATTGTTAACAATCCCCAAGGGAACACTGCATTTAATTTTACCTGTGACAGCAGCCGCTATTTGGGTAAGATTGATGAAGCGCTCCAGGACGTTATATAAATGCAAGTTGTTGTTTGATGCGTTATCCGAATCGGGCTCCTTTCTGTGTTGGCATCTCAGCACAACAGTATTTAAAAACACACATTTGTTATTGCAAAGAAAAACTCGTACAGTATGAACGCTGACCATGACAATTCAGATCCCCCAAAAAGCAAAATCAGACTCGTTGCTTTCATTTTTGTGACTTAAAACACTGAGGCACATTGTTGCCATGATGATTTTTGAACAAGTTGTCACATGGAACATGTTAGTTCCTTTATACAGATTGTAAACGGGTTGCAAGTACTGTGTTTATCAATCTCCTAGATTGCAAACATCATCAGTTTACACATGCCATACCATTCCAAGATGATTGGCCATTACTCAATTTGCTGCAGTTGAATCAAACAGCTTGGTGTTGCTGGCAGACAAATACTGATACAGTTTGAAATGGATTTTGATGAACCCTGTCACTGCAAAAGCTCAGTCCTCACTGCTCATGATTGACAAATGTTTCTGTACCTCCTCCCCTTTCTTTGCCAACGTTGTTTTGACCCATTTTGACCTGAGTTGATCTGTGGTCAAGAGGGTCTCAGTACAGGGTACTTTCCATGATTCCTCCAGTATTTTCCCAAGTGGTAATTATTCATAAGCCTCCACAATAACTTGCTCAAGTGTTTTGGCAAAATGCTTCTCCTGCAACAGGACTTTCATATGTCAATAACACCAGAAGCTGGGAACGTCACACAGAGCACAGGCAATTAAACAATCATCACGTTAGGACATAGGGATTAACTGCAACACACAAAAAAACATTGCACATATAAAACTATCTACATGCTGATTGTGCATGCTTGCACAGCAGACACACATACACACATGCCAACAGACAATCCGCGACAATCAAGGCTTACCACCGTTTGTGGACCAGAGATGAGAGAAGCAGTCTCTGTTGTGGTGCTCATTACCTGCCGAGTGCATTAAGGAAAGATTCCGGTGTTAAGACTTACAGAACAAGCATAACTGACAAGAGTCCCATACTCCAGGCCATCGCGTGGTTAACAAGGTTAATAGACGGCTTTCACATTTGGCATAATTACTAGCTTCCCCATAAGTGAGTTTGGCAATAAAAGGGCACACAGTGGTTACACCTGCATGGCAGCACAGCCAGTTATATGTTGTCAGTGGGCATTTGCATCATTGATTCATGTTTCCAATTTGTGGTATAATTGACTGAAAAGGAGAAACAGCAGAAATTTAAAAAATCACATTTCGATGGATGGATCTCGTGCAATCAGAAAGCAGCTTATCAATGGATTTATTTTTGCTACAAACACGACCCAAGTTTAGGTGTTTATTTGAAGATCTACACAAGTGTTGTATGTAGAATAGTGTAATAATTTATCATATGTCACAGTCAACCTGATTGATTCTCTATGTACAGTGTAGTGACTTGTGTATTTTCTAGATGCGCACAGCAGCCAATCTGCGCACATCAATCTCCCACAAACAGCCATGGAGTGAATGACCGATTTTATCTGGGAGGTATTGGCCAGGGCACCAGGAGAAATTCCCTTTGCTGTGTGCAGTCTTTACTGCACTGGTGTGGGATGGAAATTGATGGCTGGAGGGTGGTTACACCTCCCTAGCTGTATCCAATGCACAGTTTGGTGGCAGGAATCTGAAGTCCCATGTTTGTTCAGACCTCGCTTGACACGACCATTTCCCTTTGTTAAAGGAGCTGTGTTATTACTTGGAATGCGTTGATAAGCCCTATGGTTCAGAGACCCCGGTGCTCAGGAATGTGGCTGTGATCGGGGCTGCTGGTACGACTCAGCTAAGATTCTGCATCGCCCTGCCTCGTTAAACCGACATACAAACCTATAACAGCTGCAAAATGTCTGATTCCTGCCTGTAAATATAGCAGCCCTGTTGGCAGCCAGTCAGCATACGTCTGCAGATTTCACAGTTTCTCATTCCTGACGCTAGTGAGGGAGGCACTTTACCCCAATATTACTCACTCTGAGCCAGAAGCTGCATAGCTTTCCAGCAAAGGAGGCTCTGTGTGCACGCTTAAGAAAACTCCATCAACATCGTAACCGCACAACCTTTAAATAAAAAACGGTTTGTGTACAAAGTTTCGGAGCTCCATTTCAGTCCCTTTATCTTCTATAAGCGTGGCTATTCCAAGAGTCACCAGGACAATGAAAACACGAACAATCAGGGGAGAAAATAATTTCATAGAGAGGCAAATAAAAGGCATACAAAACACTGAATACAAAACCCTGGCTGTAATTTACAAATAGCAATCTGAGCGACAGTATACAATTTATATCCTACATATATACATACACGCTTTCAGCATGTATCCTCTACACACTAGCTTATAGCGTGGTGAATATCACTGAGGTTTAGCCAGCTGTGCCCCTGAATTAGTGGGTTTAAACTGGTAAACAGGCCTGCTCTCACCAGCTGCTAAAAACACTCTCTCCTCACAGACAGTTAGGCCTTTCTAAGGCAATTCATTTATTAACAGGAGGAGGCCATTCAGTATATCGAGCCTCTTCTACCAGATATTGGATCCTAGCAGTTATTTTAATTCCATTTCACCACCTTTTCCCCATATATAAACAACAACAAATCGCATTAACGTAGCGGGTTTCACATTGGGAGGACGTCCCAAGGCTCTGTATCCCTTAATAACTTCACTTTCCAAATATCTATCTCTAACTTGCACTGCCGTAGCCGTCTGAAGCTACCGTTGCTTTTTTCTCCTCGGTGCGCGTTGCTCTTTAACTCTCGCATGCTGCATCTCGCCGAACCTGATATAAAATTATCCAAGTTCTAATTGTGTTTGTATTTACGTCGGGAACCACCCATTTCAGAAAATGTCATCACTGGGGATTGAGTGAGTCTGGAAGTGTTCAGCTGACACACCGTGACAGTCCACTACCTTAAAATTAATAATTGTGATCTCCGTGGGTTATTTCTCTACAGACTAAATATACTGTCGTTAACCCTAACTGATTTGTTCAGAAAAAGAATAGTCTGGAAGGAAGTGATGAATCATCTTGTAAGATAATTCGAGAATCGTGGAGACTTGGAATTCTTCCAAGGATAAGCACGGCCAAAGATTCAGAGAGGATTCAGCAACCTTATGCATGTAGGTCAAAAAGTCTGTCAAATAAGAGCTGCGAATGGCACTCGCACACTTTTAGCAGGGATTGTCATGACCAGAGTTTCTAAAAATACTGGACATTATTACATTATACTTAATCCAAGGCTGCACATGGCAACAAATTAAGTGTTTTTGAGAAGAACATATACAAATATATATACAGAGAGAAAGTATAAAAAGCATAGAAAATTACCAAGAAGAGAAGAGCAGCGAAGGAGGGCACTTCAAACTATTGTGTCTGGGCTGATTCCCTGAAATAGCTATCCATTGATTTCCATTCTCCTTTTCCCCATAATTCTTATATTTCTCTTTTTCATATATTCATTTAATTTCCTCTTAAAAGCGAATATGGAATCTGTCTCAATCCTCAAACTCGATAAGACATTCCACATCATAACAACTCTGCTGTAAGGCACTTTCTCCTAAGATCTCCCTACAGCCAAGTACTGTATAGTATTGTCACAATTTACATATACTCAGGTAATATCTAATACAACCTGTTTTCATGCAATGCTCGGGAATTAACTGAAAACATCCATCAGATCAGGAGCTTTTAGAGGTGCAGAAGCAGAATGATGTACCTCAGAATTGCCAGGAATTTCTCCTTCTCCGGAACTAATCCCAGTGTTGTCTTCACCTAGAAGATGAAGGGAATATATTTATCAACATAAACTCCCTTCCAACTCAGTTGTTCCACATTGCCACAAATACTATTCACCAACTCAATGAAAACTGTTTAAGGTGCAGCTAATATCCATCCTAAGCAGCTCTGAGTATCTGGTTCCCTTGGGTTTTTTTAGTAAGGGTTCAGGCATTATCAGGCACATTTTAATACTTATTAATCAGATTCCGATTAGTAACTTCTTTTTCGTTATTTTGAGGAAGCTACAAGGATCCAGCTTCAGAAGAAAATAATTTAAAAATCTGCTTTCTTTGATCTGCTGAGCCAACTCAGGCACAATAGGTCAAATTGTATATTCTCTGCTGTTTCGCCCACAAAATATACAGTCAGTTCACTTTACAGTACATTCTGTAAAGCGCTTTGGACGTCTCAAAGACGTGATAAGGCGCTAAATCAAATGCAAGAATTATTATTATTATTATTACTCCCGTGCCAAAGTTTTCGCTAGCAGACAGAGTACATTTTACTCTTCAGATGCCTGAAATTTCACATAGTTTCAGTTTCAAGACTATTGCCTTAAAATTTAAGAATTTGGGATTTTTAAAAAAAAATTACAGTCAATTTGGAAGCCTTGTTTTCCAAGGTCTGTGGAAAAATGGCCTTCACATTAAGGACTAAACATTGACAATTTAGATAAACCAATTTTTCTTTGAACATCAAGCATCTCCACTCATGGAGCTCCATGGAATGCAATGACATTTACAACACTGAGAAACACACTGAAAACAGCAGCAATACAGCAAGACTTCTAATCACTTTTGATATGGTTTTAACTGTTGGACATGAAACACAGTGGAACATAAGATGCACAAAGCCATTCTCAAACACTTCTATACCTGGCGAATCCATTGTGAAACCAGCGATAACAGCAATATCTTTAAAGAAAAGAACACAAATACATCTTGAATCCTGTCATGTCCATACCTTTTATTCAAAGCAAGGATTTGCTCCAATAGTCATAAATGGGATGCTTTCCCTTACTATAATAAAACAAACACAGCTCTATGCATGTTTGGGTGTTGCTTTTCAATACAATAAATAATCATGTTGTACAATGACTTACTCTGTTATTACACACAAAATGTTCCCCTGTTTGTGTATTACATATGTATCATGTTATTAAAGGGAGCAGGTTTTGATCTTAAAAGAAGAATATTTTAAAGTGAAGGCATTGTATCTGTTTCTCACACCAGCATTGTTCCTCTTTATTTAATGATTCAGGTTATGATGCATAGCACTGGAAATATTTTAAATAAAAATAAGATCGAGTCCCTCATCATAGTAAGGTTACGTACACTGATATAGAAAACCATCCCTGTGTGGTATAATAAGTGGGTATTCAGTATTAAACTGAAAGAGAAATTAATGTGATTGCTAACCACACACTGAGCATACCCAGTTCTATTGGGACTATTAACTTTGAGGTTAACTATAAGTCGGTTTGGCGCTATTGATAGCATTCTCACTTCTGGCTCAGAAGGTTGTGCGTTTAAGGCTAAGATCCAATAACAAGGTTATAAACGCATTATATCAAATGAGAGCGAAGCTAGATTTGTTTCTAGATGTCCTGTGTAGACTCAGCTGGGTCACTGCTTTAAATTGACTAATGGTTGTTCTCTATATAACTGCAGGGAACTTCTCTGCCACCCAGCCAAAGTCATTCCCCAGTGACAGTGGTACAGAGGACGTTACCCCATCTGAATGTCACAAGAGACACTGGAACTTGCTCACTGGTTAAAAAGTTGGAATTTACAATGTTAATATTAAAGGGGACACTGTCTTTGTGAAAAAGTATTTGAGAGGTTTTTTTTAGGGGGAGGAGTGAGGGTGACGAGGGTCCAAGCCAGAAGAACTGTGTCATTTTTGATTGTGGGTAACATATACAGGATTTCATAACATGCTCCTAATCGTCACAAATCTCACGTCTTGTTACAATGACGCAGTTCATTCAATTTCAGTTACTGAAAACTTTTTCCTTTCAAATACAATTCAGGCCCAAACAAGTGATGCACACCGTTGGTGTGTTACACTATAGTATTTTCAACAATGGTCTCACAGCTGCTCCTGTTTGCTTGTCATTAAGGATACTGTGCCTTTCCTGTACTCTGCCTTGGCCAACCAAACTCCAGCAATTACTTCCAAATACAATTACCGATGTGCTCTGCTTCCATGCCAGTGAATCATTCATATCAAATATTACAACACAAACTAGCAATAGTAGAGCAAAGCAAGCGCGAACTTAATTTATACACTATTCCAAATTACAATAGAATACACAGCACAAGACAGAATCTAAAAAGCAGAACATTCAAATATAGACTCCAAAAAGAATAAACACTTCTCAATAAGTTAATTGACTTTCACAGATGGATAAGTTTTGCTTCATGTTACGATGTTCATATGTCTTATAACAAACTTCATTCTCTGACTTAAGTTGTTCCAAAAATCATAATTGCTGCACATTATTATGTGCTCTTAACTGGATTAAGCCTCATATTGTATTATCTGCATTAAACTTCTGAAACTCTGGAACACTCTCCCCCAATCCCTTCGCCTTGCCCCCTCGCTCCCCTTTCTTTCACATCCCACCTTTGACCGTGCTTAAGGCCAACTCCGCATCCCCCCAGCTCGGAGTCAGGCTCAGCCACTATTAAGTGCTCTGAGACACTACCCTACGTGGACGGCGCTATATGAGTGCAAGTTGTTGTTGTTTTTGGATGAAATATGACCATTTTAATTTGAAGAAGAAACACACGTTTCTAAAAACAGAAGAATACTTAACCTGAGGTAGGCTGAAATGTTGATTCTAGTAATCCAATTCCTGGGCTGACCCACAAAGTTTATTTTAAATACTTTCAAAACACAGCATGGGTGTAGTCGGCCAGGAAAATATAAACAGGAATCCAGTAAACAGAAATCAAATGGTTGCAAATAATTTCTGCTCAAAGTTTTCCTGATATTTGTATACAATTTAGGAAATAATATATATATTCCCAGGAATCTCCTGGACCACACAAATTATTGAAAGCAAATACATTTTGCAATGATTTTGAGAGGGAAAGAATGACAAGTCCAGATGCTTATTCTTGAAGGGATAAAAGTGGTGAATTCCGTCACTATTTCCTGCAGTGTGTACAGCAATCTGGGGGTTCAATACGTCTGCTTCCACAGTCTGTGTTCCCCACTTAAGAAAGTCCCGAGACTGTCAATTGGTTCCATCTTCTCAACTCTTTGGTAGCACTTCTTCAGACACACAGTTATCAAAAGAACAACCTGACCACATTTCCCAGAGATCAGTGAGCACTTTCTGGCAGACACATAGTTCTGGAAAATCTCCCTTTGACAGACCAATGTTAAAAAAAATATTTATTTTATTTGGTATCCATGGCATTTCCAACTCAAACACGCATCTTAAGCAATAAAGGGAACAATTCTGCCAATGAACTTTTCATCTGTAAAGCCTAAGATCTTATAATATGGAAAGTGAGTCAACATGAAGGCTTTAACCACCTAGCGAGAGCAAAGAGACCCGAGGTAGGCTGTTAAAATGTTTTTAGGTCATATTATACAACGATGTGTTTTGATGGATTAGAATAATAATGGTTTTACAGGGGTATGAAGGAAAGGGCAGGTAAATGGGACTGAAAAGATTGGTATTGAGGGGGCCGGCAGAGACACTGTGGACTGAATGGGCTTCTTCTTTGCTGTAAATTCTTATGGTTCTATTATTTTACACTTACAACCAGGCAGAAAACATTTCGTACAACTTCCTAAATGGTAAAAATACTGAAGCAAACTAGACATTAGGGACGAGTAATTAAATCTCTGACCAGTAATGGCTGTTTGTAAGAATTATTACAGTGAGCTGCTGTGTCAGTAGTTTCACTGGCTGAACACACCCTGTTCCGAGCTGTCTGATTGAGGGTTGAACACCTCTTCCTACTGTGGCCTGTTGCACCTTATTAGGAGGTTAACAGCTCATTGGAGATATTACACAGCTACACTCAGTGCATTTATTTTTCAACACACTTTAACGTTACTCAAGATGGAATGGCTTCTCTCACCCATCTCTCAGTAATTGGTGTGGCAAGAGTAGTGGCCTGGGAGCAGACTGCTTTGGCAGATCGCTGGGATGATCTGCAGCCCTTAGGAAGGTAAAGTAGAGGAAATTAAAGGGCGAACAGGAAGAACATGTCACTGTAGAGAAGACCAGAGAAGGAGATGAAATAAACGTATCCAAGCATTGTGTGGATCTCATTTACCCATTTAAACATTTCTGTCCATAGGAAGAACCAAACAAATCAACGTCAAAACAGTCATCACCTGCAGGAAATGAAGCATCGACCAATTCATATGCGAATTCTGTAATTACTGCAATGCCAATAGGCTCACACAGTGAGGACCACGAGTTGGGGAGGGGTGATCAACAAAATTGTTACACAAAGTGAACAAGGCTCTGACTGATATTTTTTATAAAAAAGCTCATTAGTTTCACACTCTGAACAGATGTAGCTTACAGTGAAGGCAAATCCAGCAATGCACTTTACTTAACCCCTCGAGCATCCTGGAATAATACTGCACATACAACTGACGCAAAGGGGGAATTCTCTGAAAAGCATCTGGAACAGTTTAACTAAGCCAACAGCTGGAATATTTCCCGGCCTCGAATGAAACGGGAAAGAGATAACAATACCCATGTTCCGCGTGGTCAAAGTTAGAAGACCAGCTGAACAATATCGACCAGGAAATGCCCTGAAATAACTGTGAGGATCCCCTCCTCTAACACACACTGCTGGTTGGGTGTATAGTGTGTGTGTGGGTTTGTATTTGCGATGTTTAGGGGCGTGTATTTGGGGAAACGTGTATGTGCGGTGCACATCAGGGCGCGCTCGAAATACCTTATCAGGGCGTATGCAGGCGTGCACATGGAGATAGTGCAAACAGGGGCATTTCCCAACTGTCTTAAAGGAGCATCCCAAAAAACTGTGTGCACACCCTGTGTGCTGTGAACCTGTCCACACTCCCCACTAAGAAGGGAGGGAGGGCGGGGGACAAGACCCCATTGGTAACTGCACCCAGCAAAGGGCAGCAGAACCCTGAGGCGGGAAAGCCTTGGTCCATTCAACGAACTGGAGTGTGCAGAGGCCACCCCCACACCTCACCCCGAATCCCCACACCCACCCACCACAGGGGGCCGGGTCTGTTGTGTCCTGTAACGGGATAATAACATGTTGCGTCTTCTTTCCTCTAGCGGGTTTGATACTGTCTGGGACAAGCACAAATATATATCTACAAATATATATATGTGTATATATTTTGATTAAAAAAAACTCTTCCTCTTAAGATTTTCCTTCTAGTTTTGTTGAAAGCAAAACTCATCACACAGTCAGTGACTCTAATTCATCTGATTCTAGATCTGAAGATGATGAAACCTGTTGTTTCACAGTATTCCTTTCCTCAGTTGATCTACTGGTTTTGAAAACTTAAGCTTGAAAACTTAACCACTATTCCTTGATTTTCTCTCCCAATCTGTTTTGCCCTGGTACTGACAGACCTTTCCTTTACTTTTGGTTTCTCAACAATAAAATAACTCTCATAACTCCCGAAAATTGTTGAGATTGGGTCTATGTGGTTTGCGGGTGGCTCTTTAAAGAAAATAATTACACAGTTCTTTCTGGGCAGCATTCTATTTGTAGGTTCTGCCAAGTGTTTGCCTTGGGAAATTGCCATGTTAATTAAGAGGATATAAAAATAAGACCATAAAGCCGTAAGACATCTGAGCAGGAGTAGGCCATTCGGTTCCTCGAGCCTGCCCCACCATTTAATAAAATCATGGCTGATCTTCTAACCTAATTCCATTTACCCGCCCAATCCC